CCTTTCTAACCACAGAGACAGCCAGCACTTTTGAGTTCTACCTTCCTTCCTTGTATGATTGTGCTGAGACCTGGAAAAGTCCTGCACCTGCTGTGGTGGTGGGGGAATGGAACCCTTGCTTATTGCTGTAAATAAGCACCCAATGTCAGACACACCTTGCACTGATTTGGTGAATGCTAGAGTCCATTCCAAACCTCTAAAACCCGAACATCAGGGATCTGGTAGTATGAGACACCATACATGTAATATACACATATTTTTAAAATAAAAGAGTGCCTGAATGCTTTTTCTTTGGGGGGAGGGGTGGTGTTCGGATGCATGTGAGTTGAATTTTGGTTAAGAGAACGTGGATTTGTAGAGCGTTCATCGTTGCACCTGTTTCTTTATCTTTAATGGAATGCCATGTGACTGTTACTTGATTAAGTTGATTTCAGTGACATATTTTGAAGCCATTTGCCTTGAAAGTCATCAGAGACACCCCAGGAAGTGAACCACTGTGTTATGCAACACATGGTGTGGGCGAAGGCCAAGCCCCTCTCCGTTTCTTCAATGTGGAGGCTGAGGTGCCTGACACGTGGAAGGAGAAGCAGGAATAGTCTTCCTTTCTTTTGTCTGTGATGACAAAACTGGCATCTTGCTTTCCAGAGGAACAGAACAGAGTCAGGGCTGAATTCATCCTGCCTTGCAGGTGAATGCCTTGACAGTAAACTGTTAGTGGAGTTGCTGTATTTTTAGCATTTGATTTAAACGCTACATTTGAAGTTGAGCATGTCATCTGTTATTGAAGTACTTCAGAATGCATGCTTCCAAAATCAGCCTAAAAATATAAGTGACCCTCACCCTACCCCACATGTGTACTGTGTCCTGGTGCAAGAAGAGAAAGAGCATGTGCAGAAGTCGTGCTGTGTAGTTTGCTGGGATAAGTGAGCTGGTTCTTCTGGCCCTGGGTTAGGGAGAGTGGTGATGTTGACCTTGACTTGTGATACACAACATCTAATCACACTCTCTCCTTTGCGTAACTTCTTACTCCAGCTTCCACTGTATGCTTCCCTTACATTAAAAATCCTAAAAGGTAATTGTCTTGGAAGTTCCCAATTCATAACGTGCTCACTCAAGGCTCCTGGAGTAGGCCTGATCCAGCTGCAGCTGTTGTGCATATTTGGGGACTGAGCCAGTGGATGGAAAAGGTCTCTTTGCCTTTCAGATTTAAAAGAATAATGATAATGATTGGGGTAATCTGGTTTTTTTCAACAGGCATGTATGGTTTGAGGCATGAATATGTTCTGGAAGGAGTAGCTGAGCCTCATATCCTGACCCTGGGCACATAGGGAGCTGGAAGAGAGCCCAGGAGCAAAAAGGGGTACACTGGTGCTGCTGCAGTGGTCTCTGAGCTTCAGGTCCCGGTGGCATCGGCATGTGGTAGCAGCTTACTGCTGCATGAACATGGTGCTCATGAACACAGTGCGCACTTGTCCCCATTTTTTTATTGTTATTTTTAAAGAGAGACAAGAGTGGTAGTTGAATAGCGTCTGGCAAGTGAGCTTTAAGGGAGTCTGGGTTTGATCTGTGTGTTCATTTCGCTTTTCCAATAATAGAATAAGGATTTTTGTTTCATCCAATACACAATGTGTTAGGGGCTGGTGAGTGTTTTGTCATTTTGTTAGAAAAGTATCTGATGGCTCATCAGAAGGGAACATTTATGTTGTTACTAACCCTGCACATTCTCAGCCTGCAAAACAATGTGGCAGGTGATGGAGGTCAAACTGTCAGCATTTAATCACTTAAAATAGCCATAAGAAATGCCAGGATTCACAGTGTAAATGTAAATTATTTTGATTCTTACAGGCTTTTTAAGTTAACACAGTGCTTACTAGGAATTATTTTGCAATAGAGATTATTATTCAACATTGGTTTAACCAATGTATTCTTATAACCCTGATGTCACACCAGGGTGGTGTCGACCTATGGATGTTATGGTGGCATCATCTCCCTAGGGCTCTTGGCAGGTACTATCCTGACTGTCACCGGATGACATCCCTCAACCAGGAGACAAGGGGTTCAGGGAACAGGGCAAGCCAGGAGAGCTGGGATGTTTGCAACCTAGATCACTTAGCCAGCTTCACCTTCCGTAGGTGAGTGAGACATAGGGTAAGCTAGGTTGTTTGGACCACTTGCTGTGTAGTTGATTGCTATTATTAAGAAATCAGGTTTTTTTCTGTTTTCATCTTGATATGAACCAGTAAAATCCTCTGTTCTCTCAGTTGGTGAAATTGCTTTTTGTCTTTGGCTGTTGTAATTAATATGTGTGTGTGTGTGTGTGTGTGTGTGTGTGTGTGTGTGTGTGTGTGTGTGTGTGTGTATGATGAGAAACCCTGTTATAGTACAAATGAAGTGTATGCAGGGCACTGTTTTATTTGAGAGAGCTGCAATTGAGGCGGAAGGTAAGATTGAAGGTGACAGATTTGCCCTCTAAGTCTGCCGGCCTGACTGCACTGCCAGCAACCCCACCAGTGAGAGCCCAAGGGAAGCCTGGAGTCGGCCCCAGCCACCCTCCCTGCCCCTGCCGAAGATAAAGCACATCAAGAGCAGGCCTTGCACCACACTGGCCAGCTAGCAACCTCACATAGGTCACACGAGGCCTGAGTTGTCCGTCTGTGAAAGTAGCAGCATAACTGTGCCTGTTCAGCTAAAGTTGCTACAACCCTAGCACTGCCTGGCCCAGACAAGCACTGTGGAAAGGAGACCTCCCCCTGTGGTGTTGGGCATCTATATATTGGGGTCTGAGCCAGTGTGGCCCCTTTAGACTTTGAATGCTAGCATCTCCCTAGTGACTCAGCACAGGCACATGGGTGTTTTGTAGGTTGTTGGTAACATGAGCGTAGGTTAGTGATTCATGAGCAACCTTGCAAAGAGCTCAGGTTATGAAACAGCTTTGAGTAAGATTGTCTCATCTTCATGGTGGGCTCCTGTGCCCCTTTTTCTCACAGAAGAAGAGGAGGAGAAGTGTGGGGCTGTGCATGATTGAGGGTCAGTATTCAACAAAATTCCAGTTTGGAGGGATGACACAGCTGCTTGACACCCACAGAATCCCCTAGCGGGAGAAGATGCAAGCTCCCAATTGTCTCTTTACGTGACTGTCACAGATGTGCGTCCTGGGGAGTGGTGTGGCTCTGAGTCAGGCGAGGGAGCTGCTCAAAGGGACACACGCACCTGCCTGTGATAGCCTCATCATGCTAGGAAAGGGATCTCCAGGTTGGGTGGCAGCAGAAATAGGTGAGTAGGTAAAAGAACTGACATGCTGATTGGATGGGTAGGCCTGGTTTCATGGCTGACACAGTCCCTACCAGTGGTGACTAGCTTGTCATTAATCTTTTCATGTGCTGTGTAGAGGGAACAGGTGACCCTCTAGGTAACCCAGTGGTTACCTAAATGGGACTTGCTCAACCTGAAACAAACCATGTTGGTCAATCTTGTTTTGATTTAGCAGCTGGTTTTCTGTACATAGCTATGTTTATAGTTGTTTTTCTAAATTAGGAAACTATTGCTTTGAGCATAGGCCTGGATTCTGAGTGAATAAAGAGGTCTGCATTTGGTTTCTTGGCTTTCCCATGAGCTAACCATGAGACACATCTGGTCACACCCAGAGAGCTTTCCAGCTCCTAGGCATTTGATAATGGAAACAGCTATGTGTCTTACATGAGAGTGGCTGAAGCCATTTTTTGCACTCCTTATTTTATTTTTTAAATTTTATTATATTTTATTATTATATTTTATTTTAGTTACCACAAATCAGGGGGAACATATGATGTTTGTCTTTTGGGGACTGACTTATTTCACTATGTATAATGGCTTCCAGCTGCATCCATTTTGTTGCAAAAGACAGATTTCGTTCTTCCTTACAGCTGAGTAGTAGTTCATCATGTATACACATGATTTCTCTATCCAGTTGCCAACTGATGGACATCTTGGTTGATGCCATATCTAAATGACTGTGACTGAAGTTTAGTTGTCCCAAGGCTTGAATCAGAATGACTTGAAATTTGATTTTATAGCCTGTCTATACATTTGAAGAGCAATGATTTTTCTACTAACTACTTACTGAATTCTTTATTTACTGAAAAGTTAAACTTATGATTATAAAGCAAATTGAAAATATACCATTGGGGAAAATAAGTATATCATTGTAAAAAATTAAAAGAAAGTAAGAGGGAGGGGAGCTGGAGTAGAAAATACCATCGTGTGCTTAAAACTATGTATTTGAAATAGATGAAATCTGTTCCTTTTATATGAATACTTTTTCTTTAATTGTACCACAAGTATTGTGTAGACAGGACATTTGTAAGAGTGGCCTATGGGACATCCTGTGGTCCAGGTCATTGTTCTGAGCTATGGCTTCCAAGGCAACTCGCTGAATATTAAGACGCGACTTATGTGTATGTCTCCCAGTAACTTTCATGTGAATCCTTTTAAAGCCAAGAAGATGTGGCTGTGTGATGGAGGCAAGGAGAGACACAGAGTATCCCAGAATGAGGGTTCTGTAGCAATGTGTCCATTGGAGTGAAAAGGCTTTGTTTAACATGTGCTGCTTATAAGATATATCAATAAACCTCCTTAGATTCACAGCCCTCAGGGACCTCTGGAGCTACAGCACTTGATCAACAAGTACTTGTAAAATGCTTCCAACATGTCTGTCCTCTCTATTCTTTAAAGTGGGCCTAGCTCAGCTAGCACCCCTCAGTGGCTCTGTGTGTATCCCTGCTGGCTGGACACAAACTCCCAACTCTAGCAGATGATTCCCTGTCCTTCTATTTGGGAGTGGACACCAGCCAGGGTCTTAAACACTGAGGACCAATGTATGAACCCTGCCCTTCACCTTGGCCCCCTGCTGTATCCAGTATCAGATCATGGACCATAGTCTTTCTCTGGAATGCAGTATTCTTGAGAGATGCTGGCCCTTAAAGAGTAGTGGCAACATTAACTCTTTGTTCTCTTCTTAACAGACCCGAGACGACTTCCTGGGCCAGGTGGACGTGCCTCTGAGTCACCTTCCGGTAAGGACAAGGGTGTGCTGGGTGGCCTGCTGTGGGTGTGGTACCTGAGTAAACAGTAGGTGTACCTGCCAAGTGGTTCTTCATCAGCACAGTAGAGAGGCTGAAATGAAGAGTTCTGTTCTCTGGGAAGTTCTCTCACGGGTTGGTGGATGACTTCCATCTGACCGTCTGAATCATCTGAGCATTTTGTCACGGTCACCGACCCTGCTCTTCTCTGCCATGCCTTACCTTGGAAAGCGTCCATCTGTTGTCACGCCTCACTTCCTGTCACTTGTGATCTGTGCATCCAGACCCAACCTGTCGTCTAAGCAGATGTTCTCTGCCCTCAAGTGCGCATGCTTAGATAGCTCATCGTGAACTGTCACTCCCCAGATTTTTGTTTCTAGCTTTCTCAGTCCTAATGGAGACAGAAAAGGCATGGCTGTTCCAAGGAAACTTGTCCGCTAGATGCACCAGCCTGGTTTCAGGCAACAAATGTGTGGGAATACTGCCATTTCTCCTGCTCCTGGGAGCTAAGCAAAACCACTGGCTGCTGACTGGTCACTGGGGCTAGGAGTGTCACCACGACATAAGGCAGTGTGGGTAGAAGGTGAGGGCAAGATGGAAAGCCCTGAGCATGGAACATCACAGCCAAGTACAGCTTTAATCTTCTAAATGGTTCCACCATCTCCTGGCCTTCTTTTCCTGGGCGGGATGAAGGTGACAATTGCAAGAATGAAGTCAGATGTGTCTGCCATGTGAGAGCTTTTGGTTTTTATAAAATGTTTTATAAATGTTTTATAAAATGCAAGAAGCATAAATAGTCCATAAAGTGATTTGAGCCACCTGGTATGAGTGCCCATGGCTCTGAGACTGTGGCTGCTATCCTGTGCTACCTGCTAAGAAAGAATACATCTCAGCAAGGAAGTCTTGAAGATGTGTTTTTTGGGGTTTTTTTTTCTTTGTTTGGTTTTGGGAGGGTAAGACAATTAGTTCTGTATTATTTCCTTAATATATCTGATGTAAAAGGAGATTTTAAGGGAGAAGCCCCACCCAGTCTCCCACCCACCCCAGGTCCCAGGTGTGGGGTCTGCTCCGAGGGTCTTGCTCAAGTGGTTCTGATAATTCAACAGTTTTGAATTACTGCCACTCTCTCCACTCCAAGCACGATGCAGATGTTGGAGATTCCACTGATCAACATAGTCCATCATAGCATCTCCGTTCGCCCAGTATTTTCATTGCCAACATATAGCTGAGGTGGTTGATTGACTTGTTCTGTCCTCTGTCGTTTGATGTTTAGCATTCTGAGTCTGAAAGCTCGATTGGGGGGAACCCCAAGAAACTTTGTCTGAGGTGTTCCCAGACCAGATTCTTGTATGTGCTAGCAAGCACAGGGCCCAGTACAGTCCATCGCCCCAGTCAGCTGCTGGTTGCAGTTGCTGGGTTGGATCTCTTTCCATCCCTGTTTGAAGATACGTCATTAAGGAAAGTGACATCAGACACTTTGTTCTCGCTTACCCGGGGGGGTTGTTAAGGATGTTCTCAAATACTTCACCTTCCAAGGGGTGGGAGGTTAAGACATTCTTGTTTGTTTGTGGATGAAACCTTAAAGCCCCATATTACCTCCGGAGGGTACCTGTGTGGGGCTTCTCTGTGATTAACAGTCTAGCCATCAGAAGTGTCGTTCTCAGATCAGCTGGAGACGAACCAGATGCCTCTGCTGGGGCCAGGGAAGATGCCATGGATCCTTCGTCTTCAGTGTGCATTCTGATCACACAATCAGGCTATAGCTGTCATCTTCTCTTTCATTCAGACATGGTCACTTGGCTGGCCTGTCCTGCAAGCATGGCCCCAAACCTGCCTTTCCCTAATATAAACACCACTTCTTGGCCAAGGGGAGTCTCTGATATAGAGAAGTGAGGGGCAAGAGGTGAAATTTTGCAACAGTTTGCTCCAAGAAGCCCTTACTGGTTTGAATGATGGAGGGGACACTGATGGGAAAGGTTGGACAGGACTTTCAGAGAATGGAAGAATTCTCCCTTCTTCAGAGATCAAGTCAGTACTAGCAGTAGTTCAGCTTTGGAGCTGGCACCAGTGAACTTACAGTGAAGATTGGGGTGCTGCGGCTTGTGTCTGAGCTAGAGAGCAGCAGGTTCAAGAGGGTGACACTGAATGCTAGAGGGCTGAGCCCTTCACCGTGAGCTGACTCAGCTGAGTAGCAGCTCCTTCTTGTCCTGCAGATGCCCAGTGATTAGCTTACATTGGAGTGCCCTAGTCCCATGCTTAAAACCTACTTTTTTCCCTTAGATTGATTTGTGTGTATTGAAGAGTCACAGTGAGAGAGGGGACAAAGAAAAACATCTTCTGTTCCCTGGTTTACTCCCCAGATGGCCACATACAGGGCCACGTTGAAGCCAGAAGCCAGAAGCTTCATCTGGGTGCCCCATGTGGATGCCAGGAGCCCAAACACACGGATCATCCATGGCTGCTTTCCTTAGGCCGTTAGTGGGAAGTTGGATGGGAAGTGTGGCAGCTGGAACACAAACTGATGACCAAGCAGGGTGCTGGTGTCACAGGCAACAGCTTTATCCATTATTTCACAATGAAAGCCCCCTATAATTAACTTTTCCCCTAGAAACCACGGAGGAAGCAAAAGAGAAGACTAAAACTACATCCTTTATTCTCCATGTGGTGATAGGACCTACAGAGCAGCTTCTGCACGATGTGACAAGTAGTAGTTGAGCTGCCGTTGTGTGTGACCATCTGCTCCCGTGTGCAGGATTCTTGTGGGAAATCGCTGGGCCAATCTGACTTGAATGAGCACACGCAAGTGTATATCACAGGAGTGTTAGCCTTCATCTGTGTTTTGTGGAATCTCTTTTCTTGACAGACATAGGACCATTCTCCAGGTGGATTGTGCATGGCCTGTGGAATCATTTTATGTCAGAACCCTCAGCTTTGATCAGATGGTACCCCAGCAGTCAGAGCCTTGAGGGAGGACAATGGTGAAGCTCCCCTTACAAGCCGTGCCTGGCCCTGGCAAAGCTGAAGGAATCTGATTAGATCTGTGGCAGTTCCCAGCACACCAGGCGCCTTAGCTGATATGAGACCATGCCTTCAACAAACCTTTATCAAGGAGCGGGATTCTAATCTTTGTGGTTGAGCCAGGGAAGCAGCTTCCTGCCTTGTACAGCACATGCCCCTTAGTGCAGTAGCCACATGTCACAGTGACACATTTGAAACATGACTTGTGTGTCTGAGAAGCTGGACTTGCCATTTTATTCTGTTTCCATGAATTGTGATTTAAATTTAGGATGCCGCATGTGATCTAAGAACCGAGCCAGTGTCCCTTTCTTAGGTCAGAGATGTTTGAGTCTCAGTTCCCTTTTCCTTGCATAATAAATTTTGGGCAATACAGGGAATCATGGTTGAGAGGGCTCCCACTCCATCATGGTCACCTGCTGATTTATCATTTACCTGGGGTTGCTTCTTTATAATTCCATATATTCATTATACAAAGAATGTGGAATTGGTGCTGCCACCTGCAATGCTAGCATCCCATATCAGAGTGCTATTTTGAGTCATGGCTGCTCTGCTTCTGGCCCATCTTCCTGGTGGTACACCTGAGTGGACAGCAGGAGAGGTCCCAAGTACTTTGGTCTCTGTCAGCCATGTGGGAGATACGGGTGCCCCAGGCATGGCCCAAACCAGGCTCAGCCATTGTAGCATTTGCAGAGCGAACCAATGGGTGGAAGACATTCTCTATCCTGTCTCTTATCTGTCTCTCTTTCAAATAAATAAATAAATCTTTAAAAGGTATAAATATTAAACTACAAAAATCATGTTGCTATAATAGAAAATTTATCTGAAATTTGAAATCACAGAAATACAGATATAATCTTTGTCACTATACTTTAGTTTTGTATCTTGTATTACCAAAATATTGCCTTTTTAAAGATTTTTTTTAATTTGTATTGGAGAGTCAGATTTACAGAGAGAGAGAAATAGAAAGATCTTCCCTCTGCTAGTTTACTCCCCAAGTGGCCATAACAGCTGGAGCTGAGCTCTGATCCAAAGCCGGCAGCCAGGAGTTTCTTCTGGGTCTCCCCAAGTGGCTGCAGGGTCCCAAGGCTTTGGACCATCCTCCACTGCTTTCCCGGGTCACAAGCAGGGAGCTAGAAGGGAAGTAGAGCATTGAGGATATGAGCCGGTGCCCTGATGAGATCCTGGCTGATACAAAGTGAGAACTTTAGCCACTAGTCTATCACATCGGGTCCCAAAATAATTGTTTTTTTTTCTCACTGGTGACATAAACAAGGAGCCAGGCATTATCTTGTTATGCAAGATGTTATGAAGCTTTAATTTTTTAAGGATGTATTTATTTTTATTTGCACTATTTTAACTGAGAGAGGAGAGGCAGAGAGATTTTCTAACACTGAATCACTCCCCAAGATGGCTGTAACAGCTGGAGCAGCATCCAGGAGCTTAGTCTGGTTCTTCCATGCTGGAGAGGGGCTCTAGGCCTCAAACCATCTTCCACTGATTTCCCAGGCCGTGGGCCGGGATCTGGGTAAGAAGTAGAGCAACCAGGACATGAACCATTGCCTGTATAGGGTGCTAGTGTTACAGGAAGAGGAAAAAAATCTCTACTTCTGTTCTGGTTTTCAGGAATTGCCCACACTGAATGAAGCTCATATCTAAATCAGGAACTTGATGGACAAGAGCTGGGACCTTGGAACTAGTGTCAGCTCTCATGGGTGCTAGGAAACTAGTTTTAATAATATTCTGTTGTGTGCTCTGCATGTGTGTATTTAAAAAAGAAATCTTAGGGCCTTTGTAATTAATGTTTGTTCAATAACCTTTCTCTGTTAAAGTCCCAGAGAGGCCTGTTGTTGCCCTGACAGTGGACAGACACTCATTTCTGCATGTAAAACTCAGCTCTCAGCTACTCAGACTTAGCTCTCCTCGATTATCCCATTGGTAGCCATAAGCTCTCTGACCAGAAAAGCTGTGGAGGCCACCTTAAATGGCAGGTTCTGCAAGCTGCTGACCTCTACATAGGCATGCAGTATTACAAGTGCTGTGGCCTTGCCGGTCTGGGCCACCTGCTCTCCACAGCCTACTGCCAAGTGCTGGACACCTGGATTCATCAAGTGCTCTTCTGGGTCATTGTGTTAAGTTCACATTGGTCCTCTGCCAGGGCAGCAAGCTGAAGGAAGAGGCCCTGGGCACAGAGAGACTGGGCAGAGCAGGTTCTAAGAAGCTGGTGTTCTGCTTAATACAGAGTTCACTCCTCAGTAACAGGCCACAGTGGTCAGCTGAGCTGGTGCTCTGTATCCAACACAGGCAATAGGGAAGGCGATAAGGAGGAAGACATGGACTCCTCCCCCTTGCTGCGATCGGGGACTCCTCAGCATGCAGTACTAGGCTGATGCTTCCAAATACAAAGCATCACCCTAGGACTCTCGTCTGCTTTTATCTGGGGAGACAAAAAGGATGAGAAATCAGACCCGAGGAGTCCTAGGATGCTCGGGGCCTCTGTTCCTTCACACCTCTTCCCAAGTTGCTGCTAACCTCCCCGGTTTAATTTCTGTTTTACTTTTCAAATGAGGAGTGAATTGAGGGAGGAAAGATCCAGGAAGAAGCACAGCGGGTCCTGGACAGGACAGAAAATGAAGAAAATATAGTTCTCGCCCTAAGAAATCTCCGTGGGGCAAGTTTCCAGCTTAGCCATTGAGATGCCTGAGTCACAGTGCCCGGGCTCCTGCTTCCTGCGCATGCAGACCCTGGAAGGGAGCAGTGATGGGTCAAGTAGAGTTGGCTCTGGACCATCCATGTGGGAGACCCAAGTGGGCTTCTGGGTTCCTACCTTCAGCCACCCAGGCGTAACAGGCACTGGAGAGAGAAACATGGTTGAGAACTCTCTCTGTATCTCCAATACAATTTTTAAGAAATTAATTTTTCTAAAAAAGATGCTCAGAAATTTTAAAGATTAAAATGTTTTCCATTAAAGAAAAAGAAAAGAAAGAAGTGATAGTCTTCAAAGATTAAGCTTTAAAAGAAAGGAGTCCCTTTCTTGGGAATTGTTGACATCTGTATGGAAGAGTTGCTGGGTAACCTTGATCAAGTTAGTCTTCCTTTCCGTTGTTCTCCTTGTAAAAGGAGGTGTCTGCCTCTGTGCAGATGATAACCAGGTTTCCATCCAGCTCTGCCACAGAGTGGCTAAGTGAGTCCGCAGCGGTGTAGGGGCAGAACCTGTGCCAGCCCGCAAGGCAGCAAGCTGACTGTCCACTTTGGTTTGTCCCTCTGCTTCTCTTTCTGTTGGGTCACAAAGAATAGCCACAGCTGCAACTATACTGAGTTTCGCTTTATTTTTCCTTTTTGAAATTATGTACATGTTTGTTAGTGCATAATTACCTATAAGTCCATGCTATATTTGGTGATGTGTGTCTACTAATCGTTTAAGGATAAAGTAGCTTAAGTCTTGTCTAAACCAAATGCAGTTCCTGGCAGGTGTTTGCCTATAAAACCTCTCACCTTATTCTCACCTCTCCCTTGATTGATTGGGTCTCCCCTGCCCCAGTGCTCCTCCCTGCCCAGCTACAAGCTCTCTGCATGCAAAGCCAGAACCCTGCAGCAGAGAGAGTGATGTTAACAATGCTGGTGTCTTCCACAGTTCTAGTCGAAGACAGTTATGACTAAATTTTAAATTTTAGTTTCCTGGAGGTGAGGCATTTTCAGTATGATGGTGCTGGATGCCCTGAGTATACTTGAAGTTAATTGCAAGTGGTCAGCATCCCTGTGTTGATAGATGGAGGCAGAGTCATAGTTCCTCATGTGCAGAATTCAGTTTCCTGGAGCATGGAAGGACATTGGAAACATTTCTCCACTCCAGGTGTTTTTCAGGCATGGAGATTGGAGCCCATAGAGGAGGTGACTAGACCAGCAGGTCAGAGGAGGTGACTGGGTGAGCAGGTCAGAAGTGGTGATGGACTAACCCATGCACCCCCAGCATCCATGGGTGGCCAGTGCAATCCGGAATAAGGGGGACAGTGCACCCATGGCTCTGGTGCTTTTGGTAGCTTCATCTGGGTTTTGAGTCTGCAGCTCTGAGAGGCCCTCTCTTTCTGTGTGCTTGCAATGTCATTGCTTTCAGTCTGTGTCCTAGTGACTGCACTCCCACCAAAAGTAGCTGTTCTCTGAGATGAGAGTGCTGGGTATCTGAAGATTTTTTTTTGGAATGATCATCCCTGGGACATTTTGGCCAGCAGTTTGCTTGGGATGACATCCCACCAGGAACAGGTACTCTCCATGCTTTCTAGGGAGCCTCCACCTAGGGAACATGAACATGTTGAAAGCTGCGCTAAAAGCCAGAAAGAATCTTCTTGTTTGGTCTCCAAGGTCTTTGCCTTGCTCGGGCTAGGTTGCTGTGCAGGACCAGCTTGGAATGCCCTGCTTTTAATTGCCTGCCCCTGGACTGGTAGGAGTCACAAGAGCATGCCAGTGTGGGTTTCGCTGATGATGGGCATGAGCGGTATGTCTTGCACCACCCCATGGTCTCTGCTACTCCTGAGGACCCTGAAGATTCTGTTTATGCTTTTTCTGTGCTTGAACTGTCATCCTTGCCTGCATTTCTCCACCTGTCGGGACCTTGCATTCACCTTGTGCTGGGCCACACATTCAGGTCAGAAGCCGTGTCTTCCTTTGACCGCATGCTATGCCTGTGACCTCTACACGTCAGGTTCCAGCAGCCCCTTGCTGTGATGGCCTCTCCCACATATCTGTGACACTCAGGGCAGGTTCTGTGTGATGTTGCTTTTACTAAAATCATTTGTTGATTGAATACAAGCAATAAGGAAGGCATGATAGAAGTGGTATGCTTCATGAACGAAGTTTCCATTGTGATTCGTTTTTTAATAGAAAATAATTCCCAAATGTCTGTCTGCTTTGTTGGCATAACAAGAATAGTCTGGCAAGTATAAATGACTTCAGTAATGGAGAATCTGCAGGGTCTTGAGTTTTACAGTAAATCACGTTCATTAATCCGCCACCTATGAGGACTGGTTCTTGGCGCCATCAACGCAGATTACAATCTGTGATCCTGTGGGCTTACATTCCAGAAGGCAAAGGATGATAGCCTCATCAGTAAGTAATTGAACAGGATGAGGAGAAGGTAAAGCAGGATGCAGGTGATTGGCAGGGCTGGAAGGGTTGGTGGTAGCTCTTGAGCTGGACAGCCCAGAGTATGTGACCTGGGATCATAGAACTCAAGGGAAAAATGGAGTGAAAGCCATCCAGCAGAAACAGCTGCCAGGTGTAGGCCTGAACTGTGTGGTAGAGTGACACATGATTGCCACCTATGGAAAACGAAGCCAGAATGGCTGGAGAATGGACAGAGAGTAGTTCATATAATGATGTCAAACGATAACTAAAAGCCAGGTCATGTTTAACTTTGTGTGACAATAGGAAAGAATTTTCATTTTATTCTAAAAGCTGGAAGCCATGAACAGGTAACATCAATGAATGCATTTATACCCACCTGAAACAGTAAACTGTATACTATGGTTTGTCTGTCTTGCTATGGAAGAGAATATTTAAAATTGTGTTTACTTGAAGAGGCTAGTTATTTGCGGTCTTATTATGTCACGTATTTAAAAATTATTAGGAACACTTATTTTTCCAATTTCTGCTTTGTTAGGCCAGCCAGCTTTGCACATGCAACATGAATACTGATTACTTTTTATGAGTGAATGTTCGTTAACGTCCCTAGATTTGTGAACCAGCCGTATCAGAAAGCTGATGGATGGTGCTTTCCAGGGCTGTCTCCGAGTGGAGAGCAGGTTCTTGTGATGACGTGATGCTCTGGTGGGAAAAATGAAGTCTGCTGCACAGATGAGCTGCTGCTAACTGCATGCTGGGGTTCCTTCAGTTTTGAGACAACAGGACACCAGCAATCACTGATTCCAAAGCTAATCTGCTCTCTGAGACCTAGGCCATACATATAGTTAAGAATGACCCTCCCCACTGGCTGCCATAATCCTCGTTAGTCCTCCATTGGGGTTAACTTCTAACCCTGATGTGGACAGTGACCTCTAGTGGATCTTGCATGGATAAGGACCCACTGGAGGCAGCGGCTCCACATTCTAAGAAGCCAGGATGGGGGTCTGCATTACAGCATCATAGGGAAAGCCATTACCTGCAGTGCTGGTATGCATAAGAGCACTGCTACAAGTTCTGACTGCTCCACTTCCAGTCCAGCTCCCTGCAAATGCCCCTGGAAAAGCAACAGCAGATGACCCGAGTACTTAAACCCCGACCCACCCGACAGGGGAGGCCTGCATGGGCTTCATGCTCAGCCATTTGCAGACAGAGCTCTCCCTCTCTGTCTCTGGAACTCTGCCTTTCAGCAAATGCCTAAGTCTTTAAAATAAGATCTGAACATGTATGCCCTGCCATCCAGCTGGGGAGTGTAAAAAACAAAATGATCTTAAGTATTAAACTCACTGATTTTTTCCCACAGACGGAAGACCCAACCATGGAGCGACCATATACATTTAAGGACTTCCTACTCAGGCCGAGGAGGTAAGGTGTGGGGGTATGGGAGGCCCTCCCTGCATTCAGGTTGCTGGTTCCCACAGGGAGACCCCAGAACTCTGAGCGCACCCAAGGCAGGGAGCCCCATCGCTTCCTTCTCCCTGCTGACCAGCTTTTTCTCACTCTGCAGTCACAAATCCCGTGTGAAGGGGTTCCTGCGGCTGAAAATGGCCTACATGCCCAAAAACGGGGGCCAGGATGAGGAGAACAGCGAGCCCAGGGACGACATGGAGGTACATGGGCGCTGGTGGTCTCCATCCATCCATCCATCCATCTATCCTTTCCCCGACCAGGGTCCTGTTGGTGTTTTTGATTTGAGGCTTTCTCCCTGAAAAAAATTAAGTAGTGATGAAGTTCGAATGCAACCACACAGGACCTTTCATACAAGACTATTTTGATAGGAAAGGCACAGTTCATGTTTGCCAGCAGAACCCAAGTCTCTGGCGAGTGAGGAAGGCATGTTCTATTGCAGTCCTCACTGCCCTGTGGACATGCCTTCCACAGTTCACACTGCTGTCACATTCTCAGCTCTGTCCACTCGCTGTAGTGCTGGTGATTGCTACAGTGTGGGTACAGAAATGTAGAGAATCTTCCAGGTCTGTTATTCAGGCACATCCCCTACCCTGGGATGGCAGGCACTGGAAAAGCCATTTTGGAGCAAGCTCTCCAGAGGCAATGTCATTTTGGTGCTTCTGGCTCATGCACTTGTACCCCCATGGTACTGTGCATCCCACGGCAACTTCTTGGCCCACAGCCTGAGGATGCTGTCCAGACAGCCAGATCCTGGCATTGTTCTGTAATGTGCTTCCAACTAGGCCTCTCCAGGCCTTGTTTGCATACCTGGTTGTAGCTGTGGCTTAAATGTGATGTGTGGGTCTTGAGGAGGTGTGCACAGATTCCCTGTCCCCTTCCCCTACCCGGAGCCACAAGGTCCTGGGTTTGTGAGCCCTGATCTCAGTGTGAAGAGAGTGGTAGATGGCCTTGACTATTGACAGTTCCTGAGGCACCTCTGCAGACTTGTATATCAAACCCCAGAAGTGATCTTACACTCTGCTTGTTTCACAACTGCAGTAAAGAATGAGTGACTTCACTTGTCAGTGACTTTACTAAGGGATTTGAGAAAAGAACCTGAAGTACATCACAGAAATGTTAACCTTCACTCAGGTCCCCTGCAGCCTGTGTGGAGGCCCCATTCACCTGCTCATTCCCATGGTCATGCTCCATGCCGTGGCGACTCCACCTCCGTGGGCACACACGGAGCCCTGGGCCTCCTGTGAGGGCTGGAAATACCTGTACAGTCTGGCTCATCTCTCCTTATGCCTCACTTTGTAGAGGTGGTAGAAGACGACAAGTACAGCCTCACGGCCATGGCTTAGCACAGCCCAGGTGGCCTTTAACACAGAGGAAAAGGTGTGGTGCCTCCTCAGAACATTTATCTCAAGCTGATGGGCTCCTTACCAGAGTTACATCGGCAGGCACCAGTTAAGTGTCTGAGAATCAGAAGATGGTAGAAGTTTAGAACTAGATGATGGGGCACTTACCTGACCTTTATTCACATGAAGCATGTGTAGAGCCCTTGCTTGTGTGCGGTGGAGTCAGGCAGGTGGATGCCCAGCACATACTGTCTGTCTGCTGTGCACAGCTCGGGAAGTGACCTCCTCATCCCCGTATGACTTTTCTCCCACAGCATGGGTGGGAAGTGGTCGACTCCAATGATTCGGCCTCACAGCATCAGGAGGAACTGCCTCCCCCGCCGCTGCCCCCTGGCTGGGAAGAGAAAGTGGACAACTTGGGCCGGACATACTACGTCAACCACAACAACCGCACCACTCAGTGGCACCGGCCGAGCTTGATGTGAGTACCACAGGGCGTCAGGGCTGTGCCACCATTCTCCCTAGGGTGAGGTTCATCCAAGGTCACTCTTGGGACAGGCTTGGGAGAGGAATAGGCCCTCAGTGAAAGATGGTGGAGGCCTCACTTGCCATACCACATGGCTTGGTGGAAGAGCATATGAGCTGTCTGTGCCCAAGGATGGTCAGTTCCACCTGCACAGTGGGTGGCTGTTGTGGTCAGCGGGGCTCCTGCCTTTGAGTGGCCTGCTCCTGCCCTTTGCCCCGCGTGTGTCTTCAGCTTGTTGGACCCCTGGTATGTGAAGCAGAGCCACGTCTCAGCGTGACGGACCCATCGTTGGGTGATTTCATTGCTTCCCTCCTCTTTCTCTCCTGACCCAGAATGAAAAATGGGCTTAGCCCCTCTCGGTGTTGTTTTGAGTTTTTTTTGGTTTTTTTGCAGTTCCTTTTAATTATTTACATTGGGAACCCTCTGGAAAACTGATTTCCTTGGGAGGATGTTTATATATCACCTCCATGCTTTAGGTAGACACACACAGGAGGATTGCACAGTCAGAATCTGTAATTACTGTTGATTTTGGTTCCTCAGCAACCTCAGAGATGCAGAAAACCAATTACTATTTTTCCCTCTGCAATTTTGGGTTTGATGACAGTGAATAAACACTAGTTAAACCTCAACCATTACAGAGCAGCTTGTTGTGAAACAATACTATGCAGGAAGACCTAAATCTGTTGATCTGCAGTGAAAGATAAAAACAAAGTATCATGGTCAACAGAACATTATCCTAGAAGTTCTGAGTTTCCTAGCAGCCAAGACAAGGAGGGCAATGATGAGTGGATTCTGTAATTTACAATACATCTTGAAAGCCCATGTGTTAAGCAAGGTAATTTTCTCTTAACCTGAGACTCAAAGAAATCAGCAATCAGCTAATGTTTTATTTTAAAAACACAGCAAGAGAGATAAATAGAGCACTTGCACGCACTGTTCATTCCCTGTACATGCGTACTAGCCGTGGCTGGGCTAGGACTGGTGGTGGGGGCCAGAAGCACAAATCGGGTCTCCCAATTGTGTGGTTGGTACATAGCTCCATGAGCCATTACCTGCTGCCTGCCAAGGTGCACTTTAAGCAGAAGCTGGATTAAAACTAGAAGAGCTTATGACTGGCATGGTGGTGTAGCATGCTAATCCTCTCTGCCCATGGCAGCGGCATCCCATATTGGGTATCAGTTCTAGTCCTAGCAACTCCACTTCCCATCCAGCTCTCTGCTAATGGCCTAGGAGAGCAACAGAGGATAGCACTAGTGCTTGGGCTCCTATACCCACAAGGGAAACCCAGAAGAAGCTCCTGGCTGCTGGCTTCAGACAAGCCCAGCTCTGGGCCAGTTGTGGCTGTTTGATGAGTTACCCAATGGGTGGAAGAACTCCCTTCCCCTCACCAACTTTCTCTTTCTGACTTTCAAGTAAAATAAAAAATAAATCTTAAAAAAAAAAAGAAAACACGAAGGAAAATTGGAACTTGCCCCAGGCATATTTAAGTAGGTACAGGTGCCCCAAGCAGTAGCAATTTAACCACTGACCCATAATGTTGCTTTTTCAAAAGTGGCATTAGGAGGTGGACATGTGGCCTAGTAGTTGAGTGTGGATAATGTCAAACTCTTATTGGTAATCTCTTTTTCCCTCCAAAGAAGAAGTGTGAGAAGTGGTTTAGCTGACTCGGTATATTTAGTTACTTACACTGTTGGGTTTCAGTTAGTGAGCACAGCCACTAAAACTAGTGCAGCCATTTGAAGAAGTGACTTTGTAGCTGCTTCCATGAATGATTGAAGGAGACTGGATAGTAAGACCCTACACAGAGCACCATGGCTGAGCAGCATGGGAGAGGAGACCCTGAAAAGGTAGCGCTGTGTGGTGACCCCAGACCATTGTGACCTCTGTGCAGAAGTGACCAGAAACAGCTCACAGATAAGCAAGCCATACTCACACCTGGAAAGATATACACCCTCATTAATACATGCCTTGCAGATTGCGCTCTACATGTTTGGCATAAAAGAAGATAATTGCTACTCTATCATTCCGAGTTGAGGGAGCTTTTAAGATGTTGTAAATGCTTCACGCATGTTTTTAAACATAGCATCATTGTAGCGATGGGGTGAGTAGGTGCTTATCCCCAGGCACATCAAGATGCAAGTGTGCCAGGAGCACAGGGGCAGGCCTCAAGAACATAGGCTTCAAAAACTGCCATCCTCGGTGGCAGAGTCTCCGGGAACCAAACCACTGTGGGCGATGCCAGTGAGCCTGAGCTGGCCCATCAGCACGCTGGAAGCCACAGGGCAAAGGCAGGGCTTCATCCAAGGCCAGGCTCACACGTAGATCAAGGAGAGAAGCCAGTGGCGTGACTCCCCATGAGTGAGGTGATACTGTCAGGGGAGAGGCTGAGCCAGGAAGATGTCAGTGAGCTCTGGGGTGAATGTAGGGGGCGTCACCTGTCCGCTGGACCAGCCTCCTGGAAAGCAGGGGGCAGCCAGGTAGGGACAAGAGCCTGGTTTCACAGTGCCCTCCACAGCCCCACTGAACTAGGCAGGGTTCTTTTCCCCTAGCTTGACTTGCCCTGTGCAGAGGCCCTTAGACCCTCTATAGTTATTTTTTTAGGAATCATTTTGGTTCAAGCAGCATTTTTCTTCCTTGATTCAGTTTTTTGGAAGTGCTGCATTATCTTTCAGAAGAAACCTGATATTGTTAGGAAGCATCATTTTATATTTATTTTTGTTTAAAAATCGAAGAGTTTCAGAGAGACAGAGATTCTCCTTCTACTGACTCACTCTGCACATGACCAGAATAGCCAGAGCCAAGGCACTGTGACAAGCAGCAGTATAACCCGGTTGCCACAACACCAGCCCCCTAGAATGTGTATTCTTGTTAAGAGTGCAGAAAACTTGTGTGCTCATCATGAAAATACAGTGAAGCTTGATTATTCCAGGTTCAAGCAATCATAAATTGGAATGTAAATGTAGATTCAGGAAAAGCTAACCTTTACACTAAGCCCTTTGCAATAACCTTAGTAAGTAAAGTTGTGAAAAAGAGTCATTAAAGTATTGAAGACCCCTGGGATCAAAGAACCCCTGTGACTGGCAAACAGCGCTGCCAGTTGTGGGCTATTCACTGTCCCAGGGGCCCAGCAGGCCATGGCTTAAAGTATAGCTTAGATTGAATCTGTTTTATTAAATGTTACAATCTGTGTTTTAGAAAGAATGCCTGCTCTAGATCATGGATCTTCTAGATTTCAATCCAGTATCGCACTAAGGTGCTCTGTGAGAAAACCCCAGGATACAATGGTGCAGGTCTTCAGATCCCCGCTGATGGCAGACCTTAAATCCTGAAGTTAAGGAAAGTGATCCTGAAGTGATCCCAAGTGAGATGCAGAACCACCTGAAGGCCAGACACGTTGAGTTGAGACCACTTCCCTGCAGATGGTGGTGTTGAACTTGCACCTCCATAGATAGCCCTTGCTGTGTTGCTGACAGCCAGTGGTTGTGTGCTTATGGATCAACACCTCAGCCTCCTGCCCTGCCTGGCCTCTGTGGTGAGCAGGGGAAACTTCAGTTTCCTCTCTTTCTGGGTCACATCGGGCAGCACATACCTGCAACAGGCTCCAGAGGGCGTGACCGTTGCTAGGAAAGCACATTTGTTGGACTGAAATGCACTCACACTGCCTCTGGCCCAGACGTGGTGGAAGGTTTGTGCCTGGCACGCAGCTGAGGGTCTGTCCATGCTTGACCCTGGATCTCAGCTTGGGGACACCTGTTTTCAATCTCACAATCTCTCAAGCTTGCGTTTTGCACCCCTCTCCTGCACCCTCAGGGATGTGTCCTCCGAGTCGGACAACAACATCAGGCAGATCAACCAGGAGGCAGCACACCGCCGCTTCCGCTCCCGCAGGCACATCAGCGAGGACCTGGAGCCCGAACCCTCCGAGGGCGGAGAGGGTCCTGAGGTAGGCTGTCGCTGGGCCCGGGCTTGCCGTGGGATCTGGGCTGATGCTATGTCTGAGTTTCCTCTCTCCGGTAGACTTTTCTAGCACATGAAGATTGGGGCCCCACAGCCAATCGATGGTCATCTGAATATTAATTTAGAAACTGCTTATAAAAGCCATGTTTGACAAGCACACGTGGCCATATATCATTGCAAAAGGGAATGACATTTCTAGCATGATAATCTGAAGATAGATTTACTAAGTTTATCCTTCTCCAAAGTCTAACCAAATCTCCTTAAATGGCAATTTGGTATCACCAAGTTTTATTGAGTTCCTTTCATATCTTGAAAGAGATTTCCTCCCAAGAAAATGCATATCGATGCTACCACAAATGTTCTTACTTTCACCTTTTTGAAGTTTGTAGACCATGACTGGGAAAAATTTGAATTAAACAAGTTTAGCAATAATCTTAACTTCCATACTGTCTTATCAATGCTTCTCACTGGAAATTTATTCTTTGCAGACATTGCATTAGGAGAGTCATTCATAAAGTAATCTTTGGATGATTAAAACTGAAAAATCAAAACCAGTGATTCTCTAATAAATTCACCAAAAGCAATTGCAGAGCTGTGTGCAGTCATGGCTGCCTGATAGCATCTTTGCTATCTTCATTGTGTGAGTAGGAGAAAAATCCCAGGGAAATCGTTCATAAATCCACACCCGTGAGCACCACCCCCTACCCCGGAAGTCTTGCTAGCACCTGTGTGTAGTAACAGGTGCTGGAAGTGATTCCTTGCCCAGAGAAGAGGTGTGGTGGTGCTGTGAGACTACAGCCTCTGGGCACAGGTGTCCTGGGTGTGCATGTGCATCATGGGCCTGCCACTCACCTGCTCTCCTGCCCCAGGCAAGTTGCTCTGGGAACCCCAATTTCCTCATGTGTTAATGAGGTGGTTCCTCCAGAGTGTTGGCATGTGTGTCATGGTCAGGGCCAAGCAAAGGTTAATTATGATGGTTGTTTTGGTCGGGGTTGGTAGCCAGCACTCACCCCAGCCTCTTGTTCCTTGAAAGCCCTGGGAGACCATTTCTGAAGAAGGGAATCTGGCTGGTGACTCACTGGGGCTGGCTGTGCCCCCACCGCCTGCCTCCCCCGTGTCCCGGACCAGCCCCCAGGAGCTGTCTGAGGAGCTCAGCAGAAGGCTTCAGGTCACTCCCGACACCAACGGCGAACAGTTCAGTTCCCTCATTGTAAGTAGGGCTCTTGTTTGAAATCTGAACAATAGTTTGTGGTTGTTGCAGGAGACTGTTGTGTGCAGCTAAGGACCAGGGGTCCTCCAACTCCCAGGGAACTCTGGTGTTTTCTTAAACCCTCCTTCCCCAGGAGGAACAGAACTGCACAGAATTAGCCCAAACAGTTGCGCATCTTTCTCACTGTGGTCAGTCCTTGTGCTCACCACCTCCAAAGCTCTTCTTTGGCTTCTGGAATAATTCAAAGGAATAAGATTGTACAACATGTGTAATTAGGAGCTTTAAGCTTGTAGAGTTTGTTTCTCAGCCAATAGACTCAAAGTAGGGATACCTTTATCATAAAGGTGGTGTTTTATTCGTGGTGAGAATTAGGAGCCCACAACCTTCCCATTAGTCCCCTTAGGGCATCCTGTTCCTGATTTATTCCTATTCCACAAGCCTGACCATTAAGAGGCCTCTCCAGGAGCAGGTTTGAATAGAAAAAGACATCCCATGAGTCCCAGGATAGGAATCCTTGAGAAAGATTAAAATATTGTGACACTGACAGTAGGGTAGCATTTGAACTTGTTTTCTCAATTGGAGAAAGACTTCAAAGAGCACTGAGTCAGAATGGGAAGCAACAGAGTTGGTAATAAGAACTGATATTTATGTTACAGAGTACAAAACTGGGCAGAAAGGGCTGACAGAACAACCCTACCTGTGCATAGAGGTAAAAGTCAGTGCTACTTTGGTGTGTATCTGAAGCAGAACTCAGAAGATGTGCTGAGATAATCAGAAGTAGACACACCACTGTGAACAGCATCCCAGGACAGTCACCATGCCAGCCACATCGAACATCCGTGATGGGAAGGCTGCATAAAGCTGGAAGCCAAGCAGGCACTTACAAATCGAGGCTGCTGTGATGAGAGTGGCTTTATTATTTTGAAAGATGACCATGAGCCCCTGGATCGCAGCAATTACTCAACTAAAGTGGTTTCTTCACATTAAAACTCTGTGAATGTTTTCCAAAAAGGAGAGATACCACTGGGCTGAGCATTTAGTACTAAATGGACAGGATAGAAGAGATTTTATATATGCGATGATGGAGTTGGTAAAACTGTTGTTTTGGAAGCAATGTAAGCAATAAGAGAAGACATTTAAAACCTATGAGGAAGGAAGTACCACTCAAACTGTAATGATTACACCCAGTTATTCACCCAAGTGAAGAGAAAATTATCATTTTATTCAGCATTGATATTTAGCATCCCAAATTATTTCTGTAGGGTACTCCTGCCTTTGGTTTTTCTAGATGCATAAAATAGCCGTAAGACTAAAACACAGGATGAGTCATCTTCAGATTTTGTTCTTTGAGTCTGTGAGTGAGAGTTTTGCTTCTCAGGGCCCCTCTGTGTGCACAGACCAAAGTATGACCTTTCCCTGAAGAATGTGGGAGAATGCGCATGGCCCACGTCACCACCTTGGACTTCACCCACTCCCTCTGCCATCGCCAAGTGTTAAAAATCAGGAAATGCTGCACCTGTGCTGCGGGTCCTACGGATGAGGAGACCCCTTGCAGTGATCCTCTTTCTGGTCTACCAGTAGACCAGATGTGTAAACACATATACTCCAACAGGCAAGATACAGCAGCAATGTAGGGGACATACTAGATGGTTTTCTGATGCACGCCCTGCTCCCCCTCGTCCCACTCACATGCTGCTTGAGCTCCACTTGTAGCTAAAATGACAGATGTTCTTTTGCAAGGAGGATAACCCAGTGTCTAAGTGCACACCCAGAATCTTGCTTATTCCCAGTGAGCTGTGGTGAAATGTTGAAAAGCTGTGCACAGCTTGAGGGTCCCTTAACCAGAATGCTCGGGACCACAGAGGTTTCCAGTTTCAGATGTTTTCAAACTTGGGGTATTTGCATACACACAGTAAGACACCTTGGGACCAAGTCTTCACACACTCATTGTTCTGTTTTGTATGTGTATTATTCCTGACTGCCTCATACATGTTCGTGCGTTACACACCCAGCCTAAAGGAACTTTCTATGGTGTTTTTAGTGCACCTGCATTTTGACTGCAATTCATTACACAAGGTCAGGTGTGAAATTTTCTACTTGCCAACATTATGTGGGCACTCGGAAAGTTCTGGATCTTGGAGCATTTGGGGTTTCAGATTTTTTAGTCAGGAAGGCTCCTCTTGTTGGTGTCATATGAGAATATTCCCTGAGGCTGCATCACAGAGCAGAATGGGAAGCTGCTGACTTCTTGCTTCCGCTTACAGTAAAGCAGTTCTGGGTTATCACAGGACCTTGTCAAGTTTCCCTTTCCAGAGCTTGGGTCTCTTACATTGGCCATTAATTCTGGGGGCCAGAGTCCTGTTCCACCTTCCCACTGCTGAAAAGGAGTGTTGTGTGTAAAGGGAGATGATGCATTTTTCTAAGCCAGCAAGTCTTGTTTTTAAGAGCATTCCTCCTGATATTCCCCCGTCTTTGCTTCTTTGCTTCTCTCCTCCAGCAACGAGAGCCCTCCTCCAGGCTGCGGTCCTGCAGCGTCACGGATGGCGTCGCGGAGCAGGCCCATCTACCACCGGTAACCCACTCCCCTTCCCAGTCATTGCCTGCCTTTTTTTTTTTTTTTGCTTTGATTTGAAATCATCTGGGTTGCTAAGAAAACTGATTTCCTGTGCAAATCTAGCCATCCTCTAAATGGGCTATTTTTTAATGTCCTAGCAAATTGTCCACGGGAGCAGAGATTTCTCACAGAAAGAATTGTCACTGCCACCAAAGCGGCACTGCTGAAAACTTGATGGCTTTGGCTTTCGCCCACGTTTCTACCAATTCCGATGTGCTTACTTGACTTAAGAATATTTGATACACTTGGAAAACACAGAGACTCCCTCTAAGCAGGAGGTACTAGCCTGTGTAGGGCACGGGCTTCAGTGCATTTCTGACGGCCTCAGTTCTTAACCCCAGAGCCTGGCCCCCTCGTCTTAAATACAGTTCTGCTAGCAAAAGAGTAATCTTCATACAGTTCTGATTCTCCCACCAATTAGTTACCACCAATTACAGAAGTGCAAGGGGGGAGATAAATAACATCTAACTGTGTACGCATAAATAACTCAGTATAGAATGCACATCCTCTGTCTTGGGAGGTGTTTGGTTTACACATGAAAACTAAGAAATTTAATGAAAATTGTCTTATTTTGGAAGTGGGAAAAAATGTGGTTTTAACATAATGAGGTACAATCTGATGTTTAAACTTGGCCAGTTTTGTTTTGTTTTTTGTTTGTTTTGTTTTTAATAGCTACAATCCTGGGTCTTTCATGTGACTAATGCTTCATTATGTGTGATTGATGATCGGGGAGGGGGCGGGGTGGTGGTAAAATGCCTTTAAGGTTTTTGACATTGCACTGCCTTTCCTGGTCATGTGCATTTCTCTGTGACGTCAAAGAATAGTTTTTGCCTAGGGTTTTGGGTTTTCATGTTGACAAAGAGATTCATGGTGTACTAGTCAAGTAAGCAGTCAAAATAATCAATTGCACCGTGCCTTACCCAGAGGCTGTCTGCTTAAGATAAACTGGATGAGAGCGTCTGCTGGGATGGTTCCGTACAAGCTCCCCCAAACCAATGATGATCCGGTGGGGTCCTGCTCAGCCTGATGATCTGCTGTGGGAGATGAATGGGGCTTCTCACAATCAAGGGCACTCATTCTGGGCAAGGAGCTCACTTGCCTGCAGACTCATGATTCCCTCCTTCTTCTCTTGTACCCAGTGAGGCTGACACTTGCTGATGACCAGCTGCCTGTGGCTCCAGCTCTGATCTGGCGGATTCCAGAATCTGCTCATTTTTTTACCGTGGGGATGAAAGTAGACCAGCTTTCAGGGTTTTTTTTCTCAGAGAACCTCTCACTCTTTCAAAGTTGTCATTGGTACCTGGGTGCAGGGGAGGGGAGCCCAGGATCCTGCTCCTTGGTGCTGCTGGTCATCAGTGATGTCAGCCTTGTGTGGATAGGGGGCAGGGTGGACTGCAGGACCTCTGATCTGTCCGCTGCCACAGCAGTGATTGCCACTTCTCTAAGCAATGAGTCCATCCTCCCTACCCCAACAAAATGCAATTCACTGATGTAAATTATCCTTTAACAGCCCAGTACCCCAACTAGGAGAGCACGTTCGTCAACTGTCTCGGGTGGTGAGGAGCCAACGGTAATGACACTTTTATCAGATGTTATGGCCCGATCAGCAGGGCACTTTACTCAATTGTGTAGCTGAGGCTACAGCAGACTCCCTGTCAGTCAGAGTGGCTTCTTCGTGCTGCGGGTATGCGTGTAATTCTCACTTTCAACCTGGGTTTGGGTTGTTCAGAGATGTTGATAAATGGGATGATGTTTTGGCCCATGTAACTTTTAGCAGAAGCACCTGCGAGTTGCGGTTGGGAGTGCCTGGCACTGTTCTGTGTGTGTTTGCCCTTTGGTGTTTGCACTCATGATGAGCAAGGTGTGACTTGGTTGGAAGACAGCGGAGTTGAGTGGCACAGCCCATGGGATTGCTGGCCATGCTTGGCACTGCCCTCTCTGTCACCTCTCACGCTGCCTTTGCAACATGGGCTTATGTTGTTCTGTGTCCCAAGAGGTCCCTTAACCTTTTGTTCACCACCAAGAACTCTACTTAGAAAAGGGCATGCTACTCCAAGGAGAGCAACTGAGATTTTTCTTAAATGGTCTAGAAAAATTGTTTTTTTAATGTAGGTTTATGTAGGTTTAATGTAGGTTTCTGCTTTTAATTGTCTTGCATGCTTGAGCATGTTGATTTGTACTGCGCTGAGGTTTGGCTGAATTTTCTGTTTGGTCCCTGAGGTCAGGCTGTTTTCTTCACTGAGCTGCTGTCTGAGTATTTGAATTTTCTTTGTTGTTTCACTTGTACTGGTCTTGCTGACTCTTCCTTGTTGTGACTAGCTTTGCATTTGCAGTCGCTAATTTTCTAATGGATGTTGGTGGCTTATATAAAGGAACAGTTGAGTTACATGGGCAGACTTCAGTGCTTTGCCAAATTGAGTTGGCCTTCTGTTATGGTTAGTACAGGAGAGGGTATGGTGCCTGCAGTGGTCTGTGTACCGGCCAGGTGTGGGGTGAGTCTGGAGCAATCTCTGATGGAATTCTGGGTCTTATAAATGAGCCAGTTGATTGCTCGCTGAGCAAGGGTGAGAGCAGGAAGTAGAGCAGCTCCCCAGCGGCCAAGGTCAGGTAATGGTGAGATTCCTGTGTGACGCCTTTCCCAGGGGCCATACATTTCTGCGTTTGTTGGTGTGGCAGCCTGCTTGTAGCTTGGGAGTGTTGTGGTGTTGCGATAGTGATTGCCAGGATTCACTTAGTCATTGTAGTACCGGACTGTGTTGCCTGGCTAGGGGTCTCCTGGACACACAAGGGCATCTTCTGGGTGACAGCTGTTTGCCTCTTGCCATGGTCCTTGCCTGCTTGCTTCTGTTCTTGCCTCCGCAGTCAGTGGATTCAAATACCAGAAAGGTTGGAATTTGTGATTTTCTTCTCTTTCCTTTTTTTAAGATCTAACTATTTACCTGCATTTTTCTTTCTCTCTTTCTTTCTTTTAAATTATTGTTGGCAAGATGGACTTATAGAGAGAAGGAGAGACATAGATAAAGATCTTCCATCTGCTAGTTCACACCCCAAGTGGCCACAATGGTTGGAACTGAGCTAATCCTCAGCCAGGAGCCAGAAATCTCTTCTGGATATCCCATATGGGCACAGGATCTCAAAGACTTGTGCCATCCTCTACTGTTTTCCAAGGCCACAAACAGGGAACTGGATGGAAAGTTGAGCAGCTGGGACATGAACTAGCACACATATGGGATCCAGGTGCTTATAAGGGAAGGATTAGCCAATCGAGTCCTCATACCAGCTCCATGGAATTTAGGATTTTCAAGTCTTGGCAGCCACAGTTCCTAAATATTGGGCTTCCTCTCCTGCTGTGCTTTATCTGTGCTCGGGTGGCTTAGAAATGATCGTATCTGTCTCTTCTATCTTGTACCATCCCATGGTCTGAACATCCTTGACTTGTTCCTTCCTGGCTCATCCTCCTAGCTCAGCTTGTCTTCTCACACTGTCTCCCATTCTTCCCCACATCGCACAGGGCTGGGGCTGCCCTGTAGTATGTCAGTTCCTTCCTGCCTCTGCTCTCCCATACTCCCCGTGTACACACACACACACACACACACACACACACACACACACACACACACACACACACACACAGAGCGTGCTGCTCAAGCAAGCTTTTGTGCAACAGTCATTTGGGGCGTGAGCATCATCATAGAAGGTGCCATGATGTAAACATACCAGTTTATGTCCCCTGCCTCACTCTGCCCTGATGCCCTGTCATCCTGTCGCCCTGTGCTGAAGTAGGCATCCCATGCATCTGTCCTTCTGTGCTTTGATTCTGGGGGTATAATGAACAGGCCCTGTCTCTCACCTGCGGATCCACATAGAGACACACACTGGTTTCCCCTCATCAGCAGATTGTGAGAGAGCCCTGTCAGTGAGATACAGGAGGAGACAGCAATGGCCGGGGGCCTCTATGAAGCCCTCATTAAATGGCTGCCAGGCAGCATGAAACACAGCAGTGTGTGGAGTCTGCAGATGGCTGGTGGGGAAATGTTGGTTGAACCAGTCTGCAGTCCCTAGTTCGTTTCTCAGTTGCCAGACTTGTTTCTCAAGGCAGGTCGGATTCATGCTCGCGAGGCTGGGCCACTTCCATGCCTCCCTCTGCAGAGCCCAGTCCTGCCACTCCCTCCCCACTCGCCACATGTTGCACTGTGGGAGGCGATGTTGTGAGTCACAGCCAGGAAGACCAGCACAGGTTGTTCTCTGTGGTCATTAAAGAAACATGTTAATAACACTGTCTTGCATAAGCTCAGATAAATAACCAGTGCCAGTTCAGTCCCCGGTGGAAGGCAGAAAGAACATTTTAATCCAGTTCAGCATTCTCTCTGCCTTGAGCAAGATTTTCCTGTTCATTACGGATCTGTGCGGGTAACTGATGCTGGAAACTGTGCAGCTTTCGTGTACAGTCCTAAGGCGCCCAGGTTGCTTCTGTCACCTCCCGCCTGCCCTTCTTGGGCATGCAGCAACTGTAAGCACATCCTTTGGATTTCAGGACTGAGCATTTGGAGGGCAGGTCTGATTGTGTGTGTTAAGGAAACAATAGGGTGGGGAGTGGTGGCAGGGAATCACAAATTCTAAGTGCAGTCAGAATTCCATCTACCAAAGCATTTATGGTCATGTAAACAACAGTAGGTCCGCACTTCATAAGTACATGTTTTACCAAAAGTATACAAATAGATTTCAAAGTTTGCCCCAGAGTCGGCTGTCTGTGCTAGCTATCAAGGTGCTGATTTAGGTTCCTGTGTTCGAGTTGGAGTGCCTGGGTGGATTCCTGCCTCCCACTCCTGAGTCTGGCTTCAGTCTACCCAGGCCCTGAATGGCAGTAGTGAAGGCTCCAGTGGTCAGATTCCAACACTGAGTTTCTAGCTGTCAGCGTTGACCTGCCTCAGTACTAGTCACTTAAGGAATTCTCTCTCTTTCTCCTCCCTACCACTTCTCTCTCCTATCATGCCTGCCCCCTTTTTTCTTTGTCTCTCTTAAACGATTATTCTTTAAGTTTATGGGGCAGGTATTGTTGCTTAGTGTGCAAAACTGTTGCCTGTGATACTGGCATCCCATTTGAGAGCTGGTTCAAGTCCCAGCTGGTCTGTTTCCAAACCAGCTCCCTTGGAGTATACCTGGGAGAGCAGTGAGGGATGACCCAAATACTTGTGCTCTTGTACCTGCATGAGAGAGCTCAGTAAAACTCCTGGCTCCTGGCTGTGGCCTGGCCCAGCCTTGGCTTTTGTGGCCATCCAAGGAGTGAACCAGCAGATAAATCTCTCTTATCCCCCTCCCCCGTGACTTTGACTTTCGAAAAAACTAAATCATCTAAAAAGAAATTTGTGATGAAAGGAAACATGCCTTGCAATTCCACTTTCCATGAGCATTTTCAAGGGCCTTCATGCTAACTCTACACTGACTTAGGTTACAGCAGGAGTTACTAACTCAGTCCATCAGAGCACATGTTTAATATACCCAAGAGAAAGCAGCCTGGGGACTGCTCCTCTATGTTGGACACCCAAGGAGGGTGACGAGCTGTGCCTGGCTGCCCTGCCCTTGTGGAAGAGTGAGGTCTACACCTCAGTGCTGCTTCTCTCTCTCATCCCCTCGCACCCACCCCCCACCAAGCTTGGGGACAGCTGGGTGCACAGGCTTAGAATTCTCTTTATGGAGCCTTTAGGACTTTTATCTGGGAAAATGTCAAAGAAATTGCATTTTCAGAACAAAAGGGCCTTTTTTTCTTAAATCAATAATCTTATGTTGCCTGATTAAATGTGTCTTGGAAATAACATTCAGCTACTTCATGATTAATTCCTTTTCTAAAAAAAGGATTTATTTTTTTGAAAGAGAGAGAAAGAGAGATAGAGACATCTTCCATTCCCTGACTCACTCCCCAAATGGCCACAGCAGCCAGGGTTAGGTCAGGCCAAACCAAAGCCAAAACTGGGAGCTTCATCCGGGTCCCCTTGTGGGTGGCAGGGACCATCTTCTGCTTCTTTTCCTAAGTATACTATCAGGGGGGTTGGATTGGAACTGGAGCAGCCAGGACCTGAACCAGCACCTTTATGAGATGCTAGTGTTACAAGACAGTGGCTTTGTCTACTGTGGCATAAATGCCAGGCCCTCTTTGTGATTAAATCTGAGCTAGTTCTCTCCGTGTGTGTCAGGCATAACCAATGGAATGTGCATCAGCCTCTTGAAACATAGTCCGTATGTCGCCTGGCAGCCCCTTTCTGTCATTCACCATCCACAACAAGGCTCCACGGCCTCAGCCTCCTTCACCCAGGCATGCTGTCAGCAATGAAGAGGTGGCAGGGAAAGTGAAGGCAGAAATTAGGCACAAAGGAGATTTGTATCCCCAGCCTTGTACCAAGGGAACAACCCCTACTGGGAGGTCATAAGAAACTGGAAGTATCTTGTCTGTGAAGGGAGTGCCCAGAAGAGGAACAGCTTCCTCTCATGGCCTCACGGACGAGATTCTTCCCGACAGTTTGGTGCTTGCTTATGTTCTTGAAGGATGGCTTCTTGTTTCTGAGTCCCTCCACCTTAGGGCACCTTCAGTGCAGGCATCCAGGATTCCCAAGACAGCACTGGGCTCTCCCATAAGTCATTGGCACATCCTTGCTCTTCCAGTATTTCTCCACTGAGACTACATGTTGTTGCGGCTTTTCTCAGGATTTGTTTGGTGATCAGATTTGGATTATGCAAGCTTGATCTTTCCACTCTGGCCACCACTCTAAACCTAGTGAGAGTCCTGGCTTCCTGTAAGGAGACTGCATATCAGTAGACTGGCATAAACAGCTGTGGGTTGCCCGGAAACACCCTGAGCCAGGGCACACAAGTATCCTGGGTGCTGGCTCGGCAGTGTCCCAGAGGAGCATCTCTGGATTGGGTTCCCGTGTGCCCTGCAGGCTGTCATGTGGGGACCCTGGTTGGCAGTGCCCCTGCTCCGTGACAGCTGTCATGAGGCAAACACTTCAGAGCATCCCATTGCTTGCATCTCATTGGTTGCAGCATCAGCCTTGGCAGAAAAGCCCAGCAGCAGGAACAGATCATTATATTTTCTATTCTTCAGTCACTTTAGTAGCCATCTTTCTGTTGAAGACTATATTGTATGAGAGCTGAGCTCTGTGAGAGTTTGGGCCCCACAATGCTTGGGGTTCATCGCACTGGAGGCTTGAAGTGACCAGGAAGCTGTTGCTGCTCCACAGATAGTCTTGGCTGGCAGTGTTTTATGAACAAACAAAATGAACTCACCTTGTGTAGAAAAAGTGATGATCTGAATTGTGCATTGCTTTATGAAACTGATCAGAAACACCAATGCTGGTTATTAAATAGTGATGATTTCTTGCACAAACAGCCATCAGTAGCCTACGTACACACCACGCCGGGCCTTCCTTCAGGCTGGGAAGAAAGAAAAGATGCTAAGGGACGCACATACTATGTCAATCATAACAATCGAACCACAACTTGGACGCGACCTATCATGCAGGTATGAAGAGCGCCAGGCAGCTGAAAGTCACGGGCTATGGATGCCTCCCTCCTGTCCCCGATGCTAACTTGCTCTTCTCAAGAGCCCCTGTGTAAAAAAGCTTCCTAATACAACCACCGGACTTAGTGTTGGCCCAAGGAAGAATCTGGTCCTCATGTTAGTCTGTACCTGGGTGTGTTTTCGGTTGTGCTGTAAAGGGTGTTTCAGAGTCTGAGCCCGTTGCTCCTCGGGCCCCTGGTTGACTTTGGGGCTGTTGTTTACGCTGGGCCAGCACTTCATCTTTATTTCCTTTGACCGTGTGCCCTGTCCTCCCCTACCCCTTACTTATGTTTAATGGTTTCCTCCATACTGGACACAGGCCAGGCCTCTTATTACTGTTGTGTGTTGTTGTGTGGGCTCACACTCCTCTCACACATGCGTGGAGTGCCTCAGGTGAAGTTAACTTGTTTTTGCCTCCAAACCAGCTTGCAGAAGACGGCGCCTCGGGATCGGCTGCCAACAGTAGCAACCACCTAATCGAGCCTCAGATCCGCCGGCCTCGTAGCCTCAGTTCGCCAACAGTAACTTTATCTGCCCCGCTGGAGGTGAGAAGGCTCTCTCATCCGCCTGGGCTCGCTCTGTCCTGTGACCATTCACTCTCTCCTCTCTTGCAACTCTGACCTGAGTGTCACGGCCGCTGTGCTCTCAGCAGTGTGCCGGTGGTGGTGGAGGTAGTGGTGATGGTGGTGCAAGGTATGCGCACACAGCCTGTGTTCGTGCAGCCTCACAACATGCTTGTCTGTCTTGCCTGGACATTGTCCTAGACTCTCCCACCTGACTCTTATTCTCACTGAGCTGAGACCCTAGGGACCAGTACTGGAAGTGGGCATCCTCTGTTCAGAACTTGTACCATTCCTGTCATGTTGTGCTCCTGGCTTCATCAGATTCACCTAACTGCCCTCCTTGGTGCCAGTGCTCACATTGAGCTTCTGAACATAGCTACTACTTCGATCATTTCTCACCTTTCAACTTCAGGATCTCTCGTTGTATGGGTCTATGTATTCCTGATGCTTGTTTGCATCTCCCAATCATTGCTGGACACCTGCTTGCCTTTCTGCTCCTGTTTCGTGCTGTGGTAGTACCATCTCCCATAACATCCCAGGTGTCAGAGACAACACAAGTAATAGATGTTTGAAGCTGTAAACTTGACTGTGTCTAAAGGCAGCCAAGGGTCAGGATATCAGTTGGTGGGAATGGATGATTTGTCTCCTGAACTCTTTGTAGAAGATGTTACGGGCAAACAGCTCCACAACTGTAGGTGATCGCCGCCACTGATGTAGTCATTTGCTTTTTCATGCCTTCCAAATCGCCAATCTGTTCTTCACTAGACTGTGAGCTCATTAAGAGCAAGGGCATGTTTTTCTCTACTCTGTGTACCCTCCATTCGTAATGCTTGATACAGAGCAACCTTTGTGGTATGTATCTCATGGCTGTCAGGAGATGCTGGTGAGAAATTCTCAGTGTTGTGTGTTGAGCCAGCAGAAAATCCAAGGTTAGATATGACTGAAAGAAAATGACAGAGGCAGGAGTGTTGGGAAACTCCTTGTCTGAGTCAAAAGAGGAGCCTCCTGCGATGCCAGGTATTGCTGACACATGGAAACAGCATGTGGCCAAGAGTTCTAATGCTCCTTGTTATTCCTTAGGGTGCCAAGGACTCACCCATACGTCGGGCTGTGAAAGACACCCTTTCCAACCCACAGTCCCCACAGCCATCACCCTACAACTCCCCCAAACCACAACACAAAGTCACCCAGAGCTTCCTGCCACCTGGCTGGGAAATGAGGATAGCACCCAACGGCCGGCCCTTCTTCATTGACCATAACACAAAGACCACGACGTGGGTAAGGCTGCTGCTTTTCTTTGGCTTCGTTTTCCGGGTGAGATTTGGCAGTGCCCTAGGTGTCTCTTCCTTATTCAGTGGTCGTGGTTCTCACACAGGAATCACATTAACTCAGAAGGGTGTCCCCCAGGGTTGCCCCCACCCACATCAAGGCCCAGCTCCCATGGGCTGTTGGGCACTTAGGTGCCCAAGGTGCCATCAAGGTGCTCCTGGAAAGCCGTGGTGCTGATGACTCACACTTTCTGTGGAAATAGAGCAGCACTCCGTATTTCTAGGCTTCTCTTGCTGTTGTAATCTCACCAGGAAGGATCTCCTTTGAAATGTGTTTCCTTCCCCAGTTTTCATGTAGTGTATGTGTTGTTATTCCTCTCCTCCATTTGGTTTCTCACCCAAGTTTTCACCATCTGCCATCTGTATTCCCATCCCTGTAGTCGTGGGTCATGACACGTCCTGAATGACTCTGGCTATCCATCAGAGAGATCTTTTCTTTGAGTGTTTTGAACTCTTTCCTGTGTTCCTGCATTGTGTGTAAGAAGTAGTCCAGATGTTGTCTTCACATGGGCAAACCGAGATGAGTCACAGGTGCACAAGAGTGTTTGTGTGCCTCTGTCAGCTCTGCGTCTGGAGCTGAAGCAGTGGTGCTGTTTCCATAGTGTTAAGTTCTTGTGGGTGCCAGTGCTTCTGCCTTTGTGCCATACCCAGTATGGATCTATGACTGAACTGAAGTTGGTTCTCTTTGTTTCTTATTTTGCTGCTATAGCACATTTGCTTGCCTCTCTGTCCCTGGTTGTCTGGCTAGAGTGAACTCAGAATGTAGCTGAGTCCTCCTGTCACTTGTGCTGCTTACTTAGAGCTAGTGCTAGACAGAGCTGACAGCCAGCTGAGTCTGGAGATGGCCTTTGAGCCTCCTCTCAGGTCTTGGATGGATGATGAGCATGTGCTTTAAATTCCCTGTGAGGACACCAAGTGGGTCTCATTGGTGGAACAGTAGAGTTATGTTAAGAGGAAGTCCTTGACCCAGGTGACCTGGACATGTCAATCACATGTTGTCCATGGGATGATGTTAATTCAGTCCTTTGAGAATTGACTAGAGGGCATTGTCTCTGCAGTGCTCTAGACCATAGTAAGGAATATCTGCAGGATGCCATTTTTGACTCCTGGGGCAAGGAGGTGGAGATATCCCACCTTCTATTGCAGTACGCGAGATATCCTTAGCTCTGCCACTAGGCTGCTATCAGCCCCGACCCCAACTCAGCAATGACCACAAGTCCTCCCACATACTAACAAGCATGCCCTTTCTGCAGAATTCATCTACCTGCCAACGTAGTTTAATTTTGCCTTTGGTTCCATTGTTTTGGCAAACCACTAAGTACTTCTAAGCGTATAATGATGAATGAGTTTGTGTGGACCTTCTTAAAGGCTGAAGATACTGCTGGAGGTTTGTGGGCAACTCCAGAGTCTGAGGCAGGCAGCTCTTTGGAAATACAGTAACAGACCTTGGTGTGCAGACCCTTTTTTATTTTTTCTCCTTGACATTGAACCCATCCATGGGTGACCTGCTGGCATTCATGTCTCCCGTAGTCCTGCTATAATCTCAGATCCTCAGCCAGAAAGCAGGGCTCCGGAAACAGGCGAAGGGGGAGGTAAATAGTGTAAAAGGAGATGGATTAGTGTATGGAGCCACTGTGGCTTGCCAACATAAGCTATGATTTTAGTCATTTGAACCAGCCTCGTCATCAAATCCCTAACCTTTCGGCAGCCTTTCACGCCACAACTGCAGTGTAATCGCAGCTGGGCTGAGCTTGTTTTAAATAGCTCTAGCTTTGTTTCTTGCCCGCCTTGTTGCTGGGCGAAACCCAGTTTTAATTTCCAGTTGTCCCTTTTTACCTCCATGCTTGTTATTGACTAATTTGAAATTTTAATTAGCTAAAACCGCGGTCACACTGCTGCGGCTGCCCCACTGCTGTTGTTAAAAATCCTCAAGGAAGCAGCTGGGGATTCCGCAAGTGACCGCCTGTCTGCACTCAGACACAAGCGCGGCCGAGTCTCCTCCTGGCAAGGGCCTGTGCCAAGGCAGGTCCTCCCTGTGGAACAGGGTCCATCACCTGTTCATTTTGAAGAGGACAGATGGGGACAGGGAACGGTGAAAATCCTTTTTGTCCAAAAATCTATTTGGAATTGGTGCTAGGGTTGCTTTCGGTTTTTATTATTGTTGTTATTGTTGTGAGAATACAAGTTGGAAGCTCTTCTTGGATTTGATCATTATAGCAGACCAAGGGAAACAAACTGGCAGGAGAGGTTGAAAATAAGACTCTAGACCCCAGCGGGCAGGGCACTGCCATGCCTGCAGTCTCCAGACACACAGAAAGATGGAGGCCAGCATGTCGCCCTGCATGCTGTAATAGGAGGCCATATGACGTGTTTCTCAAGCCCAGCCTGTAGAGGTGCAGGCTGTGTGCCGGGAGGGCTGTGTGGAATGAAGTCTTATCACATCAGCCACAGAAGTGTGGCTTAGTCCCCGTGTGGGTCAGGCTGCAGTGAATACGTGCTGAGGTCCGACCAAGCAGCCTAAGAGGCCTCCCCGGGAAACTGCCCAGGAAACCCCTCTGAGCCTGTGGGCACCAGGAGCGCTGGGCCTTCTGCATGTCTTATTTTTGTAGCAAGGCTGTTCTTTAATAAAGTTTTAGGCTGGTTTTGAAACTAATAAAGCTCCCCATAGCCTGGTCGTGTTGGACAGTCTTTTCCAGAGTGCAAAGCCAGTATTCCCATATCTCACGTATTTTAAAATGAGGAAACATCTCTCCTTTTTAAGGGAATTGATCTTTGCATTTTAATTAAAATCACTTTCAGCTGAATTGCAGGAAGCAGTACCTGACCTGTGAAGGAGTGCCCTTAATATGCTGAGGGGGAAGGGAGAAACAGCCAGACATACGTGTCTGGGACATGTGATCCACTCTGTCCACACTGCTGGAGACGACATTAGTATTGCAGCCAGTTATCAACCCTGGGGCTGCCCAGCAGAGGCCTTTTGCCAACTTGTTTGGTTGCTATGGAGAAGCCTCCCCACTGAGGTGGCTCCTCTAGCAGCCACTCCCTCTTAACTTCACTCACCATGGCAGCTGCTGCAGTGACGCTCATTGTTGTGAGTGGCATAAAATACTGTGACCCCCCCACACACACACACACACAGCTTATAGTCAGTGTAGAATGAGTTGATTGTGATGAGTTCCATGCTTTGAGTTGTTCTGTGTCCTCCAGTTAGCCAAGCCTAGATGCTGAGCAAGTGGCCTGCTTCCTTCCTGGTCCTTTGGAATCCTCCATCTGTTTGGTGTAGTTGTTGACATTGTATATGGTCCCATGTGCTACAGAGTACTGCACTTAACTTGTGCCTCTGCTTAGCATTTGATTCATCACAAGCAGGCTTCTCCAGAATTTATTTCTTTTATGAAACAGTGTGCGCGTGCACACGGGCGCGCACACACACACAAAGGATATTTTCGGGGAAAAAAAGATTGATTGATTGACTTGAAAGATGGAGCAACATCCAGGGCTGGGTCAAACCAAAGCTAGGAACTTCATCCCAGGCTTCCTTCCACATGGACAGTAGGGACCAAAGGACTTAGACCATCTTCCACTGATTTCCCAGGAGCCTTAACAGGAATTTGGATTAGAAGTAGGGCAACAGGGACATGGACTGGCATGCACATGAGATGCCAGCATCATAGGCAGCACCTTAACCCACTAGGCCACAGTGCCAGCTCCTGACATTGATTTTTATGATCTTTTGAGCCTTGCCACTTACCTGCATCTATCACTTTGTGACCCAGCAATACACAGCCTATTCTATTGACTTGGGAAAATGTTGAAGCAGAAATTAATCTGACAGCAGCAGCAAAGACTTTAAGGTGAGTGAATGAAGCTGATGTCAGATGGCTTAGAGGCTGACAAGGTTTTGGAATCTTGTGAGCTCCTTCTGTGGATTCAGTGTACTGCATTTTAATTGGGTCCAACTTAGTGAGGGGGCGCTATAGTCTTGGAGCCAGTTCCCTCCTCTCCCAATCTCCTTGTCCTCCACCAAAGGGGAAATTGTGAGCCCAGCCTGCTGCCAAGCAGTACTGCAGGACCTTCCTTGTGACTGTCTTAAAGCATGACTTAAAAAGATTCCTCATTGACTCTTGCACGTGGCATCATTTGTGAGACCCTCATCCATCAAGTGTGCTGAAGCGTCTCTGAGAAAGTCTGGGGCTAAGGCTGTAGCTGCAATGGAGCAGCCTTGTGACGCCCGGCCCCTGCACCCCCCCACCCCCCCAGCAGGCCTGGGTCAAGGTCTCAGCTTGGCTCGGGAGGGTGTAGAGAAGAAGCAGATGAGGCTGGAGTAGCCCCTCCCCCCATGGCACATGTGCTTGGATGGGATCCACAGGGACCCTGTTGAGCCCTCATGCCCCCTCCCTGTCTGTGAAGCATGGTCATCCACACTGTCCTCTCTGGAGTCCATGGTCAGATCCCTACAGGAACCTCCAAGGCTTGGGAAACTTCCCCTTAGGTTCAGGTGCTCACACTCTCTTCTTTTTCCATCTGTCAGCCAGGCTTCCTATACCACTAGAGAGGTGGAGCCCTTCCCAAGCTCCATGAGTAGCAGGCCTCACAAGACGGTGCCTGCACACACATGGCCTCTCTTAACTTCTACTTTTCCATTTTTCTTGCAGGAAGATCCACGCCTGAAATTTCCCGTTCACATGCGGTCAAAGGCATCTCTCAATCCCAATGACCTTGGCCCACTTCCTGTGAGTACTTTGGATATACTTGGGGTAGTCTAAAGATATGTATCCACTTAACCCGCTCTGTGTTGATGGAGCAAGAGCCCACTGGCCTGATCTTTCACAGACTCCCCAGTCCCATTGGGTTGGGTTTCTCAATAGAGCTGGGTGTTGAGCAGAATGTTTGTGATGCTGTAAAGTCTGCTTGATCCACAGGATCCCTGAAAGAGTTTCTACTTTGCTAGAGTAGAAGGTAGCCCTTGTCACTAGGATGTGCAGGAGACATCTCTGCAGGAGACAGTGGAGGCTGCGTGTATCTGTTGCGTAACCTGGCAACCACTGAGTTCATCCATATTGCTGACTGAGTCATCAGGATAAAAATAATGAAAATGATGTGGGAGGGAAAGATGCAAGTCATCACAGAAAGTTTCTTTAGGTTGTATAGCCTGCAAATATTTTAGGGTTTTTTCTGCTTTGTTGATGACTGTTTATAAATCTTTAAGCCAGTTATAAATGTATTTACCGGCTTATTCACTTTGGGAGTTGAGCTATTAAGTCCAAGGTTACACTGAATAAAACCTTTACAGTGTTCCCTACGTGACACCTATCCACTGTTCAGGGAGAAAAAGCCTTGGAGGAGAGGCACAGGGGCTGAACTCCGAAGAGGATTTGTAGCTGAGAATTTTCATTGTGTGTTTTCTAAGAATAAGAGACTGTCTTTTGCCTTCTCTGTAGTGAATTGTGGCAAAAGTTGAGGTTCCAGGGGCTAGGGTCCCATCTTCTTTCATTAGATTGTAGAAATAGCCCTCCCTTTACCAAGCTGGTTGCTGGGTTCATGTGGAAAGAGCCCAGAGAGTAAGTATAGGAGGTGAAGCAAAACATGCCGAGCAAATCAGTTAGATCCCTAAGGTAGCAGTTGTTCAGACAATAAGGAGTCTCACCTTGGAAAAATCCAGATCCTTTCCTTTCTCACCAGCATTCAGAGCAGAGAACGTTGAAACTTCTTTCAATATAAAATGTTCTTTTCAATATGAAGGAAAAAAAATTTTAGTGTGAAAAAATGTTGAAATCCCTTCATAAGTTTTCTGTAATAGATTTCCCAGGACCTTTGCTAACCCCACTGGATTGCTGAGCCTGCTGATGACATGAGTGAAGGGAACCATGCCCCAGATCAGCCTCCCTCCCACCTGCCTTTGGATCCGAGTCCTCACTAAGATCGATGAGAGCTTCAGTCTCAGCCATAGCTGTTCATGCCAGGCCCACGTGGCCCTGTGAAGCTGTTGGGACGACAGCCTCCATTTGCTGTTCTTCAAGTAGTTCATTAACTGAGACTATTGGGCACACCATATAAAACCTTAACTTGACAAGAGATGACTTGAAATGTTCCTGTTTAACTTATTCTCTATGTAAAAATGTCGCCTCTGAGAGGAGAGGGAGATAGCTTTTGGTTGCTGCCTTTTGACTCTGAAAGTGCTAACTCATGGTTCTGTTTTCTGTCTCTCCCTTGCCTGAATGTTAGCCTGGCTGGGAAGAGAGGATTCATTTGGACGGCCGGACGTTCTATATCGATCACAGTAAGTAGCCACTGCTTGATGCCAACAAGGCAGGGAAAGGGAGGAGAAGGGGCATTCAGACGTGATGGTGAAAGCTGTGTCATCTCACTCTTCATTCAGGCAGCCAGGTGTTGTGTGGAGAAAGTGTTCCCGGGGAGCCAGTGCCCACCTACGGTACTGTGCATTTACCCCAAGTTTGCTGTCAAGTAACTGTGAAGCCTTCACCCCATTTGATCTTGTGACCCATTAACATTTCATTTTTTTGAAACAATTTTTTTGATTGATGGTCCCTTGACTTTTTTTTTGCGCTTTTAATAAATACACTTGCAATAGAAAATAAGATTAGCAGTGACGATCTGGTATTATCTTTGTGTGAGCAGCGCTGGAAGCTGCAGGTGACTTCAAGCCCTGCCTTCAGAGGTCTGCTAGCAGTGTGCCTGTCGTGAGCTTATTTTCTATTTGTAGCATGTTTCCTTGTACCCAGTACACTAACACAAGTAGCTCTTTTTCTGAAACTGTAGTATATGTGTTCCAGTACCTTGGAATCAATGTGTGGTTTCTCACTTCAACTAAAAATTCAAGTAATTATGCTTTTAGTAAGGGAGCTTTTAGGTGTTTTGTTTTGTTTTGTTTTGTTTTGTTTTGTTTTGTTCTGATTGATTTGTTTTTGGTCATTCTTATGAGAGGTGATACATTCATCATATTGTATAAATGTAACCAACTGTAATGCTTCAGTCTCCTAAAAAAGTGTATTCAGAGACCTCAAGCAGTTGTCAAGTTCAAAGCCTCTGTGCTATGTGGTAGCATGGGGGTCTTTGTTCTCATTGGGTTCATAAGCAGAATGTCTGTGCCAGGATTTCGCACATTTCCATGCCTGCACAGGACACTGGGGAGTCTGACCATGGGGAATCCTCATGCAGACAATGTGGGATTTGTCACTAATGCCTCGTCCAGCTGTCACCAGCGGGTGAGTGCGTTGTGAGCAGCAGGAAGAAGTGAGACCCAGCAGCTGAAAACTAAACCACAAGTGGGTGTCCTGGCTATATTGGACCAGAGATGGTGCCTGCTACCTGTAGGTTAAATCAGATATCTCAGTGTGCTTCAGCAATGGTGCTCACGTCGGCAGCACATGTGCTAATGCGCATAGGCATGGCCTTTATCTTCATCACTAAAAATAGTAATCTTTCCCTACTTGGCACAGTTTTACCGTGAGCAAAAAAAAAAAAAAAAAAGTGTCATAAGTGCCACAAAGTAGGCATGCAAACCCCATCTTTCTCCTTGCTTAACATGCTGCCTATGTGTTAAAGTGGGAGATGTTACGCTCCTTTTTTCCACGTAAAAGTTTCAATTTTTAAACACTAGTGTGACTCATGTTGATCTGTTTTTTTTTTAATGGAGTTTTCACATGGCCTTATCTGTTGTCATGACTGGTGATGATGGTCTGATGCTTAGGTGAACATGAAAAGAACTTTGAGAAAGCTCTGAATGTTTTTCAAGGAGCCAACAAAAGCACTACTGTAAAGGTGGTGTACATTGGAAATAGCAACAGCAGCGACAGACAAGGGGCATGCATAGGCCTAGGGTGGTAGTGAGTAGATGCTCAGTAGCTGGTCATGTGACATGGTTTCATTGAGACTTGGTGGAGAAGATCACAAAAAGTTGTCATCCTTGATCAGAAAGTAGGGATGTTTCCTGGAGCAGCAGCAACTCTCCAGCCCCCTAGCTGATCCCACTCTTGCTCCCCAGGGAGTGGAGGTGGAAGAGGGCAGCTGGTCTTCACTGTGGATTGGTTCACTCGTGTTGGGTGTTCTGGCTCCTGTGACCAAGAGCTGCAGGCGCCCAGGACTTGAGTGATGTGGTCCAGGCTGTGTACAGGGTCAGCTTGGTCTGCACTCAAATGATAGGGTCATTCACTGAGAGAGGATACTGAAAGGCTCCCAAATATGTAACAAATTGGATGGCTAGAAAATATTTTTTAATACAGAAATCTGTTGATGAGAAGTCTATTAACTGTCCATGATGTTTCTTCTCATTTTCCATCATCTGCCAAGATTTATTCAGCAGAAAGCAGCAAAGGAGTACACAGCAACACAGCAATTTCATTCACTTACTTTTCCCCAAAGTGCCGTCCATGCAAAGTGCAGAGTGTCTGTATTTTGATGAGACTCTATCTGCCCAACAGGTGCTCTCCAAAGGGTTTCTTTACTTGAACAACTTTTCTAGCAAAATTCAGCATCTAATTTTGCTGTCATAATGCCTGAGGGACAGGAACCTAGATTTGCCTACGTGTGCCTCTTAGCCACCAGAGTGGTCAGCCACCTAGTAGGTTGTTCAAGCATGAGTTCCTTTTCCTGCCCAGCTGGGAGATGGTACTACTTGCCTAATTACAGATAAGCATGCACTTGTGTTTTTAATGTTTTTAATAATTAGATTAGTTAGTGATTTTTTTTTCAGCTCATGAATTCTCCTTGATAAGCTGGCATTTTTAGGATTAACAGTATTCAGTCATAAAGATTCTGTTTCAGGAACTGCCTCCTCTTGGAGCCCTTGGATCATGTGCTTTTGGTGTTCCTTGAGTGGCCCTTGACTCAGACCTGGCGGGGAAGCCCGGGTGCTAATTCCAGCTCTGCTAGCAGTGATGTCATTCTCCCTAAAGAACTCATGTACCCAGCAGCTGAGTGGTTAAATCCCAGGTATCCTACAGGCAAAGTTAGAACAGAAAATGTAACCCCAGTGATCCTGTGAAACCTTGCTTTGGCCCTTGCCAGCAGGCCTTCCCCAGACTTGCGAGTGGTCTTTTAGCAAAACTTTAGAGAAGGTCTTGGGCAGGGATGCATGAGATCAAAGCCAGGGAAGATTAAAGAGTAGACAAGAGAGAGGAGTGTTCTGGCAGGGGGCTGGTCAGGGAGAGAAACAGAGGCAGTTCACTAACCCCTACTATGGAGGTGTGTGGCCCCACTCCAGGTCGGATCATTGACAGGCTTTCCAAACTGCTGGGGTGTTGAAATCATGTGGACGCGCCCCACCCCCCCCCCATGATGTGGGCACCAGCAGACTCACTGTTGGTACAGTGCAGCTGGACTTCTTTTGGAGACTCAGGTGTCAAGGGCGGAGCTGGAAGCTCACATTCAGTCAGGACTAGGGGCTCCCGGTGAGCCACAAGCAGCTCCTTTGTGCTCTGCTGGCATTACCTGGCCAAGCTGGTTGTAGCCCAGATTGGGATGTTAAGGCAGTTTTCACTTTGTGTTCTGTCTTCTGCATTTGGTTTTCTTTCATTTTTCATCACAAGTTAAAGTTTCCATCTAGCAACTTTAACTTTCCAAAGCCTTCTGTTATCAGTGTGAAGGATAACCCAAAATACCTTTTACTTCCACCAAGACTCTCCAGATAGTTGAGACTGCGTGTATACTTCCTGCCAACATAAAAGCAAAATCAGGATCCTGAAACCATCCGATGCTTTGATGGTCACTTTTTTTAACTGTTTTCATTAAAATAATAATGGGCCTTTTAAAATTCTTGATATGGCCCTGGAAATGGAATCCATTGGTTATGCTTGCCACCTCACCTCTGATACATAGGAAATAATCAGAATGTTTTCTTTTTCTTTTTTAACCTCATCCCACTCAGAGTTCCTAAAACTCTGTTCTCCCACCATCTGCCATCTTGATGTCATTCATGTAACTGTACCCCTCCCCCACACCGCTGTGTACATGGGTCCATGGTCTTTGTTAGTTGATAGCAGTTGCACATCTTGGGTGGTATGGGACGGCAGTTCTGGGCCTGTGCAAGTAGCCGCATGGGTAGCTCTTAGCAGCCTCGTTCATGTTGACTCATTCAGAGGGGAGGCGACCTGGCACACAGGGAGGCTTTTCTCCTAAATAGTCACCTGTTGTATCCACTTCTTATTTGTTCAGTCTGTCTTAACTGCTTTGGGGTGTGTGTGTGTGTCTGAGCGATATGTGTATGAATGATTTACTTGTTCACTGTAGGATTCTTAATTGAGAAATTTTTTTCAACACCATAAGCAAAAAGGAGTATTTGAAATGAGAAAAAAAAATGTGTTTTTTTAAGCCCCCACCCCCTTTTCTTAATTGAGTATCAAGATCAAGTTATAAATCCTTGAAAGAACAGGGATTTATAATCAAGGTTGCAGCAGATTGCTTGCCAGAAACAGTGTGAATAGATGTTTTTCCTTTAGATTTGCATTTGTGACTGAATAGTATGTGGGGTGGGGGTTACTGTATAGAGCACAGGTCACCTTCTAACCCGGAAATGCTTCATTTCTGTCTTTGGGGGCTGAGTGGGGAACTGGACAGCATTTAAAGGATTCAGAAAATACTTGTTTCTAACACATTCTTCACATAGAAAGGATTTGAACTAATGTGCCGCTTTTTATTTTCTTTACCATTTTCAGATAGCAAAATCACTCAGTGGGAAGACCCGAGACTGCAGAATCCAGCCATTACTGGTCCGGTCAGTATTCCTAAGTTCTCACTCCGGTCTGTGATTTTGGTTGGGTCTGAACATGCATTTCTGCTGGTTCTGTGGTGTGACTGGAGCTGAGTACGAAGTCCTGTATTTGAAGAGTTTTGTCATTTCCCCAAACCAAAGGTAGTACATGCATGCTGATAAATTTCAATGTCTTCCAGCCTTAGAAGCTCGTAGAAGTTGCTGTAATATTTTCCCTTATCCTGGGAGCTGAGTTAGGAACCTTTGTAACTCTACTAACCTGCTTTTTCATCATACCCCTCATCTATGCTGAGCAGGAAAGGAGTCAGTTTGGACCTCTAAGTCCTCCAGCACACGGCATCTGGAAAGAGGAGGGAGACTTCACTGTCACCCCAGCAGAGTGAGAGAAAGAGTGGTCATGGAAGGCAAGGGGCTAGCACAGAAATCTACCGCTGTGAGCAGACTGCACAGAAGCCCAGAGGAATAAAGAGTGAAAGAGTGTCATAGCGAGTGTGCTAGCAAGGCAATTGATGCATGTAAAAATACTCTTGTCATGGCTTGAATCTGAGGCCATTCAAATTATGTTTGTTACTTATTAGCTTTTTCACGAGACAGAGAGAAAGAGTTGCCATCTAGTCATTTACTCCCCAGATGTGTAGAATGGCCCATAGTGGGCACGGAAGCCAAACCTTTCCCGTGAGTGACAGCCAGGCATCCAACAACTTGAGCCACTGCCACCACTGCTTTCCAGGGTGTCCATTGATAGGAAGCTAGAGTCAGGAGCTGGAAATAAGCCACAAATATGCAGGTGCTCTGAACTGGGCTGTCGTGTCTTAACCCCTCGACCAAGCACCTGCCCTGAAAACAGTTTTTGAATTTTAAAGCTTAGGAGGTGCTACAAAGCAATTGTGCTTCGATAATGACATCCTTTTAGCTATGTGCAGGGTTTGCTGTATGAGTTCAGCTGCTTAGATGCAGTTGCCTATGCAAAGTGATGAATAACATCTGAATTAAAATGGGGACCTATGTTTTACTCTTTACAGTTTCAGAACCACACGGCAGCTTCCTCGTACTTAGTCACAGTTTGTTATTAGAATAATATTGTCCCCTCCACGTCATTAGACAAAGGCAGACCTGAGAAGCAGTGCTGTGTTTAAGCAGACATGCATTAACACAATCATTTTGAGAGCTTTCAGACATTTCTGTCGCCAGTCATCTGCCTTGACTGAAGTGTAGCCCACTGCCCCTCCTCCTCAGGACCTATGGTTCAGTGTTCTGCCACAGGGTGTTCCCTGCTCACAGCCACCTTCTCAGCCCCAACCTCCCTCCACAAAAACCCTCAGGTACTCTGTGTCATTCTGTCCTTTCCACACCAACCACTGTGTATCAGCTCCAGGGAAACCCTCTTGCTTAATGCAGCCTTATTTCACTGGCACTGAAAACGCCTTCTGCAAAGTGAGGGCTCTTGGAGCATCCAGGTGAATCTGCAGGTGCAGCCCACCACAGGGGATACTGATTAACTCGTGGGAAGATTTTACTCTGTTTGGGGGTGTGACAAGTTGGTAGAGTCCAAACCATGATGCCTTCACTAGCCTCTGTCACAACCTTGTAACCCATTCACGATTGTGGTAATGGTCCAAGTGCTGACAGAATCGCTGGCTTTCATGTGTTTCAGCTAAACATTGCCTGAAACAAACAGAACATGCAGTTGCACCTGGGGCTTGGTGGAGAATCAAGGGGAGAGCAGATTTCCAAAGACTATAGGCAGCATATGTTGTCTGTTCTCAAGACTGCAGAGCAGAGCACACACGCGATCATTTCCTGTTAGATGAGTGGTTTGTGTTGGAAGTTGGTGATTATCGGAGTATAAAGGAGGAATGCCGGGAGAGAACTTCTAGATCATTAGAAACACCCCAGTTGCTGAGCCTGCCCTGTGGCTCTCTGTTTCTTGGCTAGGCCATGGAGGGCTAAAGACATATTCTCCCAAGAGTGCCAAACAGTGCAGGCAGATCTTCTGACTCTTCAGTTGAGAACTGCTACGGAATGTCACCTGTCCATCTGGTTGTGGACTCCTGACCCGGGCCCTGTTGACTAGCTGCCTTGCTTCTTCTTGTTGTCCCTTCAGGTCCCTGCAGCATAGCTGGGTGCCCGCAGTGCCCAGCATAGGTCCCCTGAACTGCAGGGAAAATACATGTAAGGGGTGCTTCAGACAGGCTGTGAACAATCCAGTTAGAGGATGAATACACTTGGGTGGAGCAAATGTTGAAGTCATTATTCATTTCTATTAACTTTTGAAAACGTCCCTTCTGTGTGGGTTTTGTGTCTGATAGAAGTCATGTGGGAAAAATGTTCAGCTTGGGTCGCGTGGCCCTCGGTGACCACTTCATTCTGTCAGTGGCCACAGAGTTGGCCGGGGAGCAGTAGCCACTGCCAGTTCTGCATAGGCTCATGTGCTTTGCAGACATGTAAAGTTTCCACAGATAATATGGAAAGAGGGTTGTTAAGGTTCAGGATTTAGTATGTTCTCTAAATGGTGGCTCATCTGCAGGAGATTCCCAGTGTATTGTTTGCATTACCTGTATTTATTAACTTGTCTTTCTAGGCTGTTCCTTACTCCAGAGAGTTTAAACAGAAATACGACTATTTTAGGAAGAAATTAAAGAAGCCGGTAAGTGATCAAGTTTCCTAGAAACTGTTGTCTTAGTTAATTGTGAGTTCCCAAAGCTACTCCAACAGAAAAACCCATCTTTATAATTCTGTGTAAACTAACCATGCTGCTATCCTTCCTTTGCTGCCCTTTGATCCACCCTGTCTCAAACCTGACTTTTCTTCTTAAGAGAAGTGAAATTATATGGCAAATTACTCATGATTTCTTAGGCAACACATTTAAGAGAGGGGTGATTTTTATGGGATAGAAAGAAAACTTAGGACCCCGATCAGGAAATCTGGAAAAGCCCATGAGTGACAAGAAAATAACTTCATTTTTTTTCATAAAGCAAAAGGTATAATTTAAATAATATTGGTGATGCAAAGCTGCTGGCATTTCCCAGTAACACCTTGCATTGTGAAGGCCAGGTAGTGCTGAGTAATGACACTGTAGAGTTCACAGGCACTGTCAGACAGTATTCCTGCCTCAGGTACCAGTGGGTAGAGTAGGTGACTGAAAGGTTGCTTGGATGGTTTTCTGCAGCACCTGTTGCTGGCTGCTCCATGGTCCATTTCAAACGCAGCATACATGAGCATGCAGGGAAAGCCCCAGAAAGGAGAGGGTCTCAGTTGGGCCTTGCAGAGGCTGCCACACTCTCATCATTTTGAGAAAGTGTGTTGAGTCTCTTTGCACAGTGGTAATGGCTTGTCTTCTCCTGTGTGTAGGCTGATATTCCCAACAGGTTTGAAATGAAGCTTCACAGAAATAACATATTCGAAGAATCCTACAGGAGAATCATGTCGGTGAAGAGGCCAGATGTCCTGAAAGCAAGACTGTGGATAGAATTCGAATCCGAGAAAGGGCTGGACTATGGAGGTGTGGCCCGAGAGTGGTTCTTCCTGCTGTCCAAAGAGATGTTCAACCCCTACTATGGTCTCTTTGAGTACTCAGCCACGTAAGTACGTAGGGTGCTATCAGAATGAATTCAAGTTCCAAGGAGGACTGAGCGCTCATCTGTCCCTCCTGACCTCCACTCCTAGAACAGGTTCTGACTGGTGTATCTGTTGAGTTTATGAAATTAAAATTGTGTATGTGCTGGGCAATTGGTAGTAAGGAACAGGAGGTAATTTCTCTTTGTAACATCACAAGCATTCGAGAGGAGAATTTGTGCAAGACCTTTTAGGAACAACAGTGGTCTCTGCAGTCCAGCTCCTGGAAGGCAGTTGGGAGGGCCCTGTCTGAGCACACACAGAGTCCTCCCTCGTTGCTGGAAGGGATGAACCAGCCTCACCATCACCGGTGTGGAAACTGAAACAGGTGCACTCACCTTTTCCACTTGCCAATCATTGAAGATGACCAAATGTTTCTTCCCCATGCTGTGGATCCTGCAAGGCTTAAGGCTGTACCTGAAGTCCAGTAGAATACTTGTTGGCATTGCTGAAAAACCATTTAGCATTGCTGCACTCAGAAGGGATTTGGGCTGTTCTGTCTCCCACTTAGCACCAGTCTGGGAGCTGAGATGAAAGGCAGCTTCCAAACATGGTTTTGGTTGCTCTAGCTAAGAATGGTCCAGTACAGTGGTGGTTGTTATTGAGTTCTCACTATGAGAAAGCCACTTTGTTAAAGTAGGGGAGATGCAAGCTCCGGCTACCCACGCTCACCTTCCCAAAGTTGCCCCTGCAGAAACCTGTCCACAGAGCCAAGTCTGAAATCCCTAGAGCCTCATGATCAGCAGACCAAAGGAAGACCACTGAGGTGCCCTGACAGTGCGAGGTTTGCATTATGGGCAACTGCATCCTGCTCCCAGCATCCCTGAGGCCTTTCCAAGGCAAGAGTGGTGATCAGAGACCAAGACAGGGACAGTCTCATCCCTCAGCTGCCAAAGGAATCAACTTCCTTTCATTCTAGAGACAACTGTTATTACATGTGTCTTGTCTTCCCAAGATCCTTGGCTAAACCACTTGAAACTGACCCCAATGGACATCCTAAGAAGTTAAACAGTGATTTTCTAAGGTTCAGCTTATTCTGTAGGGCATATGGATGAGGCTTGGGAAGCCTCGATGGCTGGTCATGGAGTAGAGCTGGCAATATGAGGTCGCCTTCTCTAGCTTATACTTTGTCCCGTTAGTTACAGAAAGTTTGCAGGTGGCACACTTGAGTTTGTTTTCTGAAAGTGCTATTGGGCTTATCTTCTTTCTCCCTCTCCTAAAGGGACAACTACACGCTTCAGATCAACCCGAACTCTGGGCTCTGTAATGAAGATCACTTGTCCTACTTCACTTTCATTGGAAGAGTTGCTGGTCTGGCTGTGTTTCACGGGAAACTCTTGGATGGTGAGTCACTAAGTCCTCATGTAACTTAGATAATAACGTGATTCTGCAGTAGATATTTCATCTGTCATATCACAGGTTTTAAGAAAAAAAAGCCCTCTGGTTCGCTTTAGTGCAGTACAGTATTGTTCTGTTTTGCTCCGGTCAGAGGTACTTTTCCCTCTGTGTGTGTGTGTGTGTGTGTGTGTGTGTGTGTGTGTGTGTGTGTGTGTGTGTGTCTGTGTGTGTAGTATGAATCCGGGTGTTGTGTGAATCTTCATGTGTGTGTAAGGTATGGATGTATTTTAGTTTGCAACTGTGGGCTCACACCCTGTTAGCTACACCTGTTCAAATCTGCCTTCTCCCCCTTAAAATCTGCTTCTTTCCCTTAGAAGACCAATCAGTGTACTCACTTTCTGCCCAGTGGGGAGACGCTGTTAGCTGCTGCAGGTTACTAGGGGAGTGTGAGACAAACCCCTGCCCAGCAAACTTAACTTTGTGGGAGGGAGGCGAGGAGAGCAGAAGCACAGGAGTCTCCATGACAGTGTCCAGACAGCCACACACAGCACAGTCTGGGGACTGCTGTGGCTGCTGGCCAGAGTAGGAGGTGTGGTGACAGCTCAGGTTCCAGGGGCTGGTTTTGGTCCAGGAGAATGGAAACTGGCCCAGCACCAAGGCTCCGAGGAAGGCGAGTGAGGGGCAGCTAGTGCCAGTGTAAGGTATGAGAGGCTGCTACTGGGTGCCCTGCAAAAAGAGGTAACAGCATGTCAGAAGCTGCCAGGTGAGATGCATGGGTCTGCAGTTCCTGCCATGTGTGCCCATCGCCTTAGTCACATGGGCGTCCTCCTCTTCTTCCTCCTCCAAACACTGAAGTGTGTTGGGATCTGCAGCCAGCTCACTCAGCAGGGCAAGTCGGCCTTCCCTGCAGTGGCCTGGGGCCCGAGAGGAGGGAGCCAAAGCTTCAGACTGACACCCCAGGGACGGTGTGTGATGCAACCCTGGCTCCGTGAAGTGGGGAAGGGGATCCTGCAGGGCCACCTGTGTGCTGCTAGCGTCATGTTCACTGCCTGGCCCCACCCCACCCGGGACAATGCATCTGGCTTTTCAGCAGCTTGCGCTGCCCTCAGGGAGCAGCCTCCACCTGCCCTGCTCAACCCACAGCACTTCCTGTCTGGCCAGCCAGCCCTGAAACACCTGGTCCATCTCCTCAGGCCAGCCGCCCTCTTTCTCTCCCTGGTCCCTGTTCCCTTTTGGCAGTGCAGATTTCTCTTTAACCTTGAAGCTCCCGTATTATCCCTAGAGACCATGGCAGCCCTCTCTGCTGCTCCCTCCCTGTTATCCCAAGGCTGCCTTCCTTGCCAGGCATTTGTGTCTGGGCACAGATCCTTCTAGATGGTCCCTCCTCCATCTGCACTGGATTTTGTACTCAGACTGAAAACGGGTACTCTGACATGTATCCTTATCAAAGTCCTGAAACTTAATCTAGCTTTTGCCATGTTGTAGGTTTCTTCATTCGCCCATTTTACAAGATGATGCTGGGGAAGCAGATAACCCTGAATGACATGGAATCTGTGGTAAGTACCTGCTGTCCTCACCCTGGCCACAGTGCCTCCTGTGCCCTGGCAAGGAAAATCTCTAGAGACCATGAGCTTGTCACAGCCACTCTTGGGAGCTGTCACACAGGGAGGACAGTGGGGGAGCCTTTAATTGGGAAGATCATTTATCTCCCAGAATTTTCTCAAAAAGTAAATCATGGTTCACATTTCCTTCCATAGTGCTTCGCACGCATGTGCACCCAAATTCAGTTACCTCCCCTGACCCGGGCCAGATGAACAGTGAAGCACATGGGGCATCTGGCCTCATGCAGAGCTGTATTTTCCACCTAAAACTGCTAGCATTGAGTGGTGAGAGGTTCCGCCACTGTTCTCCATTTCCCAGCCATGTAAGAAAGGCAGAAATAAAGGCTTCTCAGACCTAAAACACCAGGGCACACGGCAGCATAGGAGTGTCAGAGTGAGCTTCTTGGCTGCTCACTGCAGGTGCTGCAGCATTCACGCCACATGAAGTTTGTGAATCTGGCCTCAGCCAATCATTTCACAGTTTGCAGTTTGCCCACCCACCCCCCGCAAAACACATTTCTGCTTGTGTTTTTCTCATAATTTGCCCATAGCCCATCAGCTGCTCCCCTGGCAATACTAGTGCATGCTCTGGGCCTCAAAAAGTCCCTCTGTCCTCTGGGGTATTTGTAGGTTCTCCTTTCTTGCCTGTATGCCAGAGGCCATGCTGGGGTACCTGCTGTGTCCTGTGGAGGTGGGTTTTTGAGCCATGTCCCAGGCATGAGCCAGTATTCACCAGATGGCTCTGCCTGGATCTTGGAAGGAAGGAGCCAAGACTAGCAGTGCCCTGAGCCCCTCTGCTGGCTGCCCCGGCCTGGCCATGTGGATATACTAGGGTACTTGGGAAGGTCTGTGGATAAACGGAAGTAAAGCCTAACTGTATCTAAAATCCAAACAGGATTTTTTAATGGTACACATTTTCAATAAACTTTTCAAAGACTCCTTGTATGCCTACGCTTCATAGTTGTGCCACAAATGGAGTTATCTTTGAATCCATTTCTCTCAGAAAGCCCCCTCATCCACTTTGTAGCCCCACTCTCCATCTTCCATTCAGCTTCCCCTTAGGTGCTTTCACAGCTGTGTGGTTAAGAAGATAAGAGGTGAGGATTTTCCATGAAGTCTAATTTTACTGCAAAGAAAGCTAAATTTTTTTCTTAAGATTTATTTATTTTTATTGGAAAGGCGGGTATGCAGAGGAAAGACAGAGAGGAAGATCTTCTGTCTGATGGTTCACTCCTCAAACTGCTGCAATGGCTGGAGCTGAGCCAATCCGAAGCCAGGAGCTTCTTCCAGGAATCCCACATGGGTGCAGGGTCCTAAGTCTTTGGGCCGTCCTCGACTGCTTTCCCAGGCCACAGGCAGGGAGCTGGATGGGAAGCAAGGCTGCCAGGATTAGAACCAGTGCTTGTATGGGATCCTGGCACGTTCAAGACAAGGACTTTAACCACTACGCTATCACGCTGGGACCAGAAAGCTAAATTTTAAATAATATTATTTGATGGACAGAGAAAGGAGACAGAGATCTTCCATCCACTGGTCTCTCCCTAAATGGCCATAACAGCCAGTGCCGAGCCAGGTCAAAGCCAGGAGGACCAACTAGTGGGACATTTCCCACTGGTCTCCCAAGCCATTAGCAGGAAGCTGGATCAGAAGCAAAGCAGTTGGAATTCAAACTGTTGCCCATATGGGTTACCAATGTCACGGGCACTGGCTTAACCCACTGTGCCATACACTAGTTTGTGAATTGCTGTTCTAAGAGTGTGTTATCATTGGCCTTGTTAGAGCCTGTCATCTCCCCAACAGTGGAAACCTGAGGCCTGGCCAGCAAGAGAGGCATTGCAGACCTTGGGTCTGCTACTCTGGGTTACAGAATCCCAGCAGCCTCCCTTTGTGGCTTAAATTAAAATGACAGGAGATTGGTGTTGGGCACAGTAAGTAAGAATCTTGGAATGCCTAAATTCTATATTAAAGTGCCTGGGTTTGAGTCCCCCCTGTAGCAATTCCAACTTCCTGCTGGTACACACCCTACGAAGTAGCAAGCGATGGAGCAAGTACTTGGATCCCTGCCACCCCTGGGACAGACCTGGGTTGAAGTTCCTCACATCAGCCTGCTCTAGTCCCATCTGTTGTCGGTGTTTGGGGAATGAATCAGAGATGGAACATCTCTCATGATCTCTAGCTCTCTCCCACTGTCTCAGAATCTGTCTCTACCTTTCAGATAAAATGAGTAAATAAAAACTTGGAGAGAGTAATGCAAGCACAGGAAAGGGGGTAGAGAGTTAAAACTGTTGGGTATTTAGCCAGCACATTCACCATCCTTCCCATTGTCCCATGATATTTTCACTCCCCAGAGAAGGAAGTGTGTCAGTCTGTGTGTGAGAGTTCCTGCAGCAGGAGGTTGGTGGCAGAGTCCCCGGCTTCCTTGTGCATTACAGAGCACATGTCCACCCTAAGCCCCTGTCACTGCCCAGACTGTGTGCGTGTTCATTTCCTCAGCTGAAGATGACAGGTTGACTGGGTGGAACAGGAGGCATGAAGGCCCATGCTATCCGTGAGTAGTGTGGTCCAAAGGCCTTAAATGTTCCAAGAAGTCAAACAAGCTGGGATGGCAGGGGTGGGGGGAAGATATGTATGTGTGTGTGAGAGAGAGAAACTTAGTTTTCTTGGATTTTTTTCCTGTAGGACAGTGAATACTACAACTCTTTGAAGTGGATCTTAGAAAATGACCCCACCGAACTGGACCTCATGTTCTGCATAGATGAAGAGAACTTCGGGCAGGTGCGTGTGCATAGGCCCAGGAGCCCAGCCTCACAGGCTGAGACCCAGCTTTACCGGACAGTGAAACCCACACAGCAGGAACTTGAGGACTTGCTAGCACCTTAGTGTGGTATGGAAAGCCACGTCCAGTCTCAGCCAACTAACTCTCTCTCACTCTATCTCTGCCAGCCTGTAGATGTTCTAAGAGGCCTCTAGAGCATCAGGTGGCACTCCCTTCTGGTCCACAGCAAATCCCCCTGTGACTGTTTCATTGCCACCTTATCCTTAGAATTTAGAGACCTCAGGAACCAGTGACTGTCCCTCAGCAATGTGAGCGCATGCTATGACATGGAGGGGCTGCAGTCTTTTCTCCAGTTCTGTGTTGTGGACATGAGCCTTCAGGGCTCAGAACTTGTCACCACAATGCCATCCAGGCTGGGCTCACAGTGAGAGTACAAAGTGCTTTGGAAGGATCAACTTGCTTGCGTGGGGTTTGCATAATCCCCTGCCCCAGGATGTGCTTGTCTTATGTCTGAAGCCACGATTCAGTTGTGTTCTGTAGTGATGCTTCTGCTTTGGGCGGTATCCTCAGGGTGACCTCTGACCCTGGGACATTCCAGCTGTCACGCCGCACCTCCGTGGCCTTGAAGCAGGTAGCAAAAACCAAGGTAGACTTAGAATCATCAGCCTTGTGTATGTATCCTATGCTTGCAGAGAGTCCCTGTGTCTCCCCTTGCAGGAACCCACAGTGGCAGCTACACAGTCCCCTGGCTGCTGGCAGTGCCAAAGGCAAAGAGGCAGTTTGTGGGGGAGCCCTTCTTCAGTTTCAGCGAAATGTGACTCTTGCCACTTAGTAAATGAAACCCAGCTCAAAACATGTGAGTTTCGCAGCAGGCTGTTGCTAAGAACCATAGTGGTCAGGACAGTATATGAAAGTTACTCAGTGAGTGTAGCCCACAGACCTCGCCAGATGCCTGGGACACGGCTGCCTCTGGGTAGATCTGCTGACACATGGTGAGCCCTGCACAACCATGAGAAGGTAAGGTTCTTCTGCAAGAGCTCTCCTAGTTGGCAGGGAAATCAGAGAACATTCAGCTCTTGGGGATGGGTCTCCACTCTCAAACCCAGTCTCCAAATCCTTGCTCTTCTTGGACCCCCGAGTCTGAACTGCCGTCAACTTCTCTTCTGGCCCCTTAAGTGGTCTCTTGATGTCCATGTTAACCTATGGTTACAGGGTGGCCTTCCAGATGTTAAAATGATGATGTTATTTCTGTGCTAAACACCTTCAGGGGCTTCCCACACCCTTAAGGTAAAGACTCAAATGTTTCTTTTTTTTTTTTAAGATTTATTTATTTTTATTACAAAGTCAGATATACAGAGAGGAGAAGAGACAGAGAGGAAGATCCTCTGTCTGATGGTTCACTCCCCAAGTGACTGCAACGGCCAGTGCTGCGCCAATCCGAAGCCAGGAACCAGGAACTTCTTCCAGGTCTCCCATGCAGGTGCAAGGTCCCAAGTCCTTGGGCCGTCCTCAACTGCTTTCCCAGGCCACAAGCAGGGAGCTGGCTGGGAAGTGGGGCTGCTGGGATTAGAATCGGCGCCCATATGGAATCCCAGTGCGTTCAAGGCGAGGACTTTAGCTGCTAGGTCACACCGCCGGGCCCAAGACTCAAATGTTTCATTTCTCCCAAGAGGCTGTGCATAGCCTGGCCCTGCTGGCTCCTCCTCCACACCCAGCCTCCCTGCCTTCTCAGCAGGCTCCCCTGGCTGCCTTGAGCACACCACTCTCCTTCCTGCCACAGGGCCTTTGCTCATGGTTTGCTCATCAGGAACTCACTGCTGGCTCCCAGCTGAACTCAGAAGTCGACGCTTCGGGGTGTTTACCAGTCCCCCTCAATGTGCATCCCACATGGCTGTCAGTGAAGGCAGCAGTGTGCCTGCCTTTTGCCCATCCTGTACACTTGATGTCAATGCAGTGCCTGGACTGTGCTTGACACTCAGGATAGACTTGTAGAGCCAGGAAGAAGAGCTTTGGCAGGATGCCCGCCCATGTTCCTGACCTCCGCCAAGCTGTGAGTGAGCACTGGGTTGGGTTCTCCAGAAGAGAAAGACCCTCCCTGAGTGGGTGGAGCCAGTGCACGTGCCCCTCACCCTCCCCACTGCCCAGAACGTGGGAAGCTGTGCTCCTTCCTCCCTGCCCCCCACTTTTTTGTGTATTTGCTTGGAAAGCAGAGTTACAGAGAAAGAGAGGGAGCGGCAGAAAGATCTTACAACCTTTTGTTCACTCCCCAAATATCTGCCGAGGTGGGGGCTGGACCAGGCCAGAGCCAGGAGCTTTTTCTGGATCTCCCACGTTGAGTGCAGGGGCTCAAGGACTTGACCATCCTTCATTGCTTTCCCAGGCACGTTAGCAGGATGAGAAGTGGAGCACCTGGGATTGGAACTGGCACCCATGTGGGATATCAGTATCACAGGCAACAGCTTAACCTGTTAACACCATGCCAGCCCACCTTCCTCCTTTCAAACACACTTTTCTTTCAGCACAGATAGGAATCACCAGTTTTATAGAAGCCACTTATTATCACATTCTAAAGAAAACCCATGAATCAAGATTTGATTTTTGTTTTCCAGATTTATTCTCCTAAGCACAAACATGAGAGATCTGCCTTAACAGAAACAGAATTGGGTTTGCCCCAGTGCTGTCACAGATGACCCTCCCGTGAGAGGAAGTTCAGTCTGTGTCTCAAGAGTACTCATGGATGTGTCCTGTTCCTTTCTCTGCTAAATGTAACCTCTTGATGAATGAATTGGAGATAAGGGACAGCTGTTCTTCCCCCTTGTTGCTACTGTATGAAGAGTGATTAAACTATAACATAATCAGCCTTTGATGACAGTATTGTTGAATGAGTGCATGTTACCAGTCTGAAACCTCATCAGATACTCTCTTCTAGGCAGAACCCATTTTCTGAACAATACCTGCTTATCTTCCATAGCAAGATGTTACCCCTTGGTGTGAGGAGTAACTTCAAGGTGCTGACTGTTCTCATCTTTGTCATTGCAGACCTATCAAGTGGATTTGAAGCCCAATGGGTCAGAAATAATGGTGACCAATGAAAACAAAAGGGAATACATTGAGTACGTATGCACACATTTGCACTTTATCTTGTGTGAAGTAGGGTGGTAGAGTCAGATGACCTCCAAGGCCAGAATGACTCCTGCATGCTTGTTCAGCTCGCCACTGTCTGAATTCTTGCTCAGGGTACACTTCTGGGCACATCATCAGAAGACAGTAGATCTGCCCTGTACCGTGGCACCTAAGGGAATAGGGTGGAGAAAAGGTACAGTTTGCTGAGTGACAAGGCAAAGACCCTGAGACTGCATTGGCATCTCCCCTGAAATTCAGAACTACAGCCACTATAGCACTTGAACGCAGTGTCAGTACCCAGCAGGGTAAGAATGAGAAGCCACTATCCTGGCTTCTCTTCCATAATAAAAAGAAAGGAAAACAGAATAGACAGGAAGAATTCACATGAAAGTACAGGGCAGCGCTTCTGATAGCACCTCATTCTGATAGCATCTCAGCCTCAGATTGAAGAACAAATAGTCGAGGCCTTTTGGAGGTCTCCCTGTGAATATTCCGAGGGCATTTATACCGGCAGATCTTTCTCTGATGACCACTGTACATTTTCTTCCTTGGGAAACACATTAGAAAAAAAGTTCATGGAAAATGCACATTATGAGAAAAACTGCATGGATTTCAAAAATGTTTGCACCAAAATAAATTGAAGGCTTTATTCCATTTTCCATAATTTTTATACAAGTGCCCTCACTTGTTCTTCAGGGTTGTTCTGAGGCTCACCCGGCCGCCCTCGCTGACCTGCGGGCTCTACAAAGTCCTGGGACCTCATTGCCCATGCCTCATGGGTGACAGCAGTGCCCTGAGCGCCCTGTTTACATCCTGAGCTCCACTCCCAGCAGCCAGGTTCCCCTCAGTGGTCCTTCCCTGTTGAAACTGGCCAGAGGGCTTGAGTTCAGAGAACTGGCTGAGAGCTGTCTTGGCATCACTTAATGTGATGTGCAAAGCAAAGCCAATCCTGCCTAATTGGGAAGAAACAGAGTGTGAAAGGCTCCACTTGGAGACCCTGACAAAGAGCAGGACTGTGACACAGCCGCTTCTTGCATTCCCCAGCTACACGCTTGTTCAGCTGACAACCAGAATTGAGATTTCGCTGTTCTTGCCTGTCCAGCAGCATTGCCACACCTGTCTGAATCTGAACAGTCTAGACAGATGACACCCTACAAGACACCATTGTGTCCAGAATGGGCAGGCCATGATCAGATGTTTTAAAAACCTGCTCCAGCACCAGGCGACCAGGGGTGAAGTCTGAGGAATCCAATGTGTATCATGCACACTCCTTACAGTTCATTGCTTGCCAGCTGTAACGGGCTGGGTATAAGATCCAGGCAGGAGTTTGGCTCACTTCCCTGAGAGCAACGTGATTGGGATCTGCCCTCCCACAGGTGCCAGGTGAAGGGGAGTGTGCAGGCAGAGCATGAAGTAGCCACACTGAGGTCGTGCTGCAGGCTTTTGGCCTGGTGTCACCAAGGAGGGGACAGTGCCGCTCCCTAAATGGAATCCATGGCAATCTCCATTCAACAAATGTTGTTGTGCAGAAAACACTGTCTCAGGGAAAGCCTAGCTGAATTCTAGCTATTTAAGGAGAGCTTATGATTCATTCTTCAGATACTGATACTTAAGTAGCACTGTGTAGCCATTTCACGGATAAGGGTTGCAAATTCGTTGGCTGCTAGGGTGAAATCCCATGTGGCAGAACACCTTTGCCTTCTCACACTTCTGTGTGTGTTTCGGTGTCTGTGGCTATGTGACATTGACACCCATATCCCTGTATATTCATAGCCTCTGTTCTCCATGTGTCCCATCCAGGAAGCAGCTTTGACCAGCTGAACCCTGGTGGGCTGGGATGGGGGTAGAGAGCAAGGATTCTTGTTACCTCTCTGGGAGATTTGAGCTCTCTCACGGTTGTGCCTGTGGGGTCACAGTGGTAGCCTCCCAGCCCCTTGGCTGTGTGTCCCTATCTGTCACAGGCAGCAGAGGAAGCCAAGAGGGGAGGCTGGTGATGGTGGTGGTATCCACAGCTACACCTGCCCTGTTCTCTCCTACAGCTTGGTCATCCAGTGGAGGTTCGTGAATCGGGTCCAGAAGCAGATGAACGCCTTCTTGGAGGTGAGCTTCGTGCCCTGGGGGTGCATGGGGCAGTGAGGCAAGGTGGTAATGGGGACAGCAGAGGGAGCTGTCAGAGCTCACAGCATACAGGCCGCAGGGCTGGGCCACTAGAGCACCACCTTTTTTGATTGTTTTTAAAGGCTCTTTCACTTGGCTTCTCATCTAATTTTTTTGCTGTTGCCAAGGAGGGCTTTTTACAGACTTTAGCTAGAGCTGGTGACCCCAAGATGGGTCTGGCTTGGTGACAGGTGCCAAGAAATCAAAGGACCAAGCAGAACAGACGTGGCATGGCCGTCCCTTCCTAGGACGGTGCTGACCCCTATCCTTTGTCTGTTTCCGCATCATCACCTTGCAGTCTGAATTCTTTTGAGACAACTGCCTGCAAAACACATCTTCACAATTCGAGGTTTCCCCTTGTCCCCAGACACGCTGTGTGCCCCTCTTCACCCCATGTTTGAGAAGGAGCTTGGTACTTCCCACATGAAAGCATTGAAAGTGGTCATACCTGCCTCCTGGCCCAGCTCTCTCCAGAGGGCCAGAGCTCCAGCTGAGGGATCCATCAGCTGTTCACTCTTACTGAAAGTGAAACGGCTTTAAAGGAGTATTGGTTGCTGGGGGTGGGGAGGACCCAGGGCAACCCCTCGTGCCCATGATCCCCATTGCCAGAACCCACCATCCCCATTGCCGGAACCCACAACTGTTAAGACATGCCTTGTCCAAGGATTTCTTGAAAAGCTTTGGGGCCTCAGGAACATAAACCATGAAACAGACATCCCAGCCCCTCAAGTCCTACTCCCTGTAGGTTAGAAGCCCCAGGCAGCCAGTGCCTAGGCCCCCACCCATGCCACTATCCCACGCTGTGCAGGAACCAGGCTTTAGCCACACATAAGGCCCAACACGGGCAACAGTCTTCTCCTGGGTCGCTTCACTGGTTGGTGATTGCCTGGGAACCATAGCCTGGTCCCTGTCCTCCCAGCTTCTCCCACGCCAGGTCACACAGCCTCTTTAGCATTCCCCCACCAAGGCTGCAGCACAGGACATTAAATGTGTTTGCAGGGCACCAGCGTGGGGGGTGGGGGGGTGTCTGTGTGTGTGAGTGTGTCAAGACTTGCTGGGTCAGCTGCCTTTTGGGATCCACCTGCCTGCAATATCCTACATCTTCACAGCATTTCAGAAATTTAGATATGTAGATTTTCTGGATCCTAAGAATTGTCGAAACCTCCTTGTGACTGTGCTGTTATTCACTGAACTATAGTTACACTGATACTGTTATGCATCGGTTCTGCTGTGAGTTCTTAGTGAAAGCTTTATCCTCAGTGAGCTTGTAAGTTCTTTTTCCAGGAAAAAGGATGTTTAGGGTATTTTTCTTTTCTTTCAGGGATTCACAGAGCTCCTTCCCATTGATCTGATTAAAATTTTTGATGAAAATGAGCTGGAGGTTTGTATTATCAGCCTTTTACGGAGACATTTAACGTATCTGTCATCGCTTTGCAGATGACTTTCGAACACTCTGATCTGCAGCGTCGCAGGGAGTGGGTTCAGGTGAACTCTGACATGGGACTGTCTCAGGCGTATTTGCACATTCAGATGTAAGGAATTACACAAGCAGTTGACCCTGAGTTTCTGTCCCCAGCAGGGCAGCTGCAGAGCAGACTGAGCACACAAAGGCCCTCTGAGTGACTAGGGTCCCTTACCCGTGCTCCCGAGGGGGAAGGAGAACCATTGCGTCCTGGAGGCCAGCACAGTGCACACACAGCCCAAGGTGGCTGTTAGCCTCTGCCAGCTCCTGGCCTGTGAGTGGTTTGTGTAGAATGAGGTCAGACAGCAGAGGGAGCTGGGTAAAAGCAAGAAGTGGAAGCTTCGTGAACCCCGCTTGGTGGTAAGGTGAGACATCACCCTGGGCTCTTATCCTGGGGCTGTGTGCAGAGAAAAGGGGGCAGGAAGGCCCTGGAGAAGTACTGGCTCTTGGTCCAAGCCACAAGTGTCAGTCTTCCTCAGACGCTGGCAACCCCAGGATGGAAATTGAATGCTACAAGCCTTTGGTTTTACAGAGCAGGAAATAGAGGCATGGGGCAGGCAATGACCTCGTGAGTTTGTCCAGCTGAATTTGGGGCTTCTTTCTAATCCCTCTGCGGGAATCTCAGGTTCCTTTGCCCCCAGAACACCTAACCCTACTGGACAGCTGTACAGTAAGAAATGCAAACCTCATGCTAGATGCTAGGTCAGAGAACCAGTTACAGCTGCTTCCTATCTGCATGCCACAGGCTTCTGGATAGAAGAGTGGGTTGGCCACCGCCTGCATAGGCCAGTCTTGTGGAGATGAAGTCGTTCCGAGCATTCATTGCTGTAGGTGAAGCTGTATTCAGTATCCTCTCAGGAAGGGAAACAGCCAGGGTGTGGTTTGCAGGGAGAACCAGAGAGGAGTGCATAGTGACAGTTGAACCAGTATGCTACACCCTGCCTGGCACAGGTGGTAGACAGTATTAGCTCCCCGCCCCTGCCCCACACCCCATGTCATCTCTGTGACAACCCAACTGCGCTGTGGCAAGGGGCATTGGAACACCTGCCTCCCTTGTTGGGTTGTGTGCATTTCTAGCCTGCCTGCCTCCTTGGGGACAAAACGCCAGGCCAGAGTCCAGGTCCTTGCTCAGGGAGAGACCGCTGAGACCCAAGTCATTCATGTCCGTTCCTGTCCCCGCAGTTGCTCATGTGTGGCCTTGGCGATGTTGACGTGAACGACTGGAGACAGCATTCCATCTACAAGAATGGCTACTGTCCAAACCACCCCGTCATCCAGTGGTTCTGGAAGGTAAGCCCCAGGCCAAGGGGCCGCCTCCTGGGCCTGCTCCCTGGGCAGGATGCCTTCCCTAAGGGCTGGTTCTAGAATCAGGGTCCATTGGTGCAGGGAGCCCAGGGAGCAAGGGCAAGGCTGGCCTCACCAGGGGCTCCTTGGCCACCTAGTTAAGGTGACAGGTACATGAGGTGCCCATTAAATGAGACAGTCCTGCCATGGGCTGAATTGGCTGCAGAGAGCCTGGGCCCGCAATGTGAGCTGGTGCTCAGGCTCCTCAGAACATGAGCACGCTTTGCAGCCCAGGCCTTGCCCAGGTGCCATTCTCGGTTAAGTGATTGTTTCCATTTTTTTTTTAAATTGAAGCCAACAAACATTTTGATCTTCATGGCTGTCAACCAAAGATGTAAAAGAAAGCTGATTGCCCATCAGAGGGCCAACATTCTCATCCTTTTCAGCCTAGGTGGGAAGTGAGTTAGGAATCGAACTGACCAACAGAGAGGTGGTGGGCTAGCCAGAAAAATAGTTACACTCCCCTCCTTCCTCCCAGAATGATTTAATTACAGGGAGAAAAACAGCACTTGCAACCTGGGAGTGCACCGATTGTCCCTTCCTGTCTCCAAAATGTTGTCCTTGGGGCGTGCATCTGCAGGTGCAGTTCCTGTCTCACCTATGTACCATGCACTCAGGCACACTGCGTATGGTCTGTGGACTCCCAGAGACGTGACAGTCCTCAAACACAGAAATACGACCTTGGTGCCATGAGACATCACTGTTTATGCCATTGATGTTGGCCTGTTGGCAGAAGAGGACACAGTACTCACCCCCTTCCCAGGATTGAGGGAGGTTGGGGTTGTGGTGGCCCCAAAAGATGCAGCCAAGTCAGTTTGCAGAGTGGACCGTGCAGGTCTCTCAGTGACCCAGGTGCGAGCAGCCCTCGTGGTGTGGCCATAGGGACCCAACAGCCACCTGCTCCTCTTCACAGGCCGTGCTACTGATGGATGCCGAGAAGCGGATCCGGTTACTGCAGTTTGTCACTGGCACATCCCGGGTACCCATGAACGGATTTGCTGAACTCTATGGTGAGTCAGCCCTCCACCCTCTGGGCCCCAGCCAGGCATCAGCTGTGGCCAAGCTCCCCCAGCAGGAGCAAGCTCCCAGCAGTGCCTCTGCATGAAGAGGTCCCTCTGTCCCGAAGGAGGGAGCAGTCCACAGGCAGGAGATGTGGGGGTCGTCTCACCCTTCTTTCCAGCTGGGGTTCTTCGTACCTCTCAAACCTGGGTCTTACAGGCTCACACTTCCAGGCCCCTCCCCTGTCTCCCTCCTCTCCTCCCCCCTTCTCTCCTCTCCTCCCCACCTCTTCCCCTCCTGTCTTTCAGCCCCACTGCCACTTTGCTCACAGTTCACCTTACTTGTTCTCCTCTTGTCCAGGTTCCAATGGGCCTCAGCTGTTTACAATAGAGCAATGGGGAAGTCCTGAGAAGCTGCCCAGAGCTCACACCTGGTGAGTGAGATGCCCACGTGGGGATGGGTCAGGCAGCAGCAGCTGAGGCTCTGAGCAGCGTGGAGGAGAGAATGGGCACCACAGATACCCCACCACCCACGGACACCCTGTCCCTGACACAGCCATTTCTCTCTGTGTAGACATGACCCAGGAACCACTGTCATGCCCAATCTGTGTCTGTCTGCGACCCCACTGGCCAGCATCATGCTGTTGAACTTGTCTTTAATTTCCCAGCTGCTGTGCTTCAGCCACAGGGTGCTGTTTGTGGTGGGCCTGACCTCAGCTGCTCTCCTTCTAGGATCCACGTTGGGAGCTCCCAGGGAGCTGATTGCAAACACTGGCACCCAGGACCTACACCCACACTGGCACCCAGGACCTATACCCACACTGGCACCCAGGACCTATACCCACACTGGCACCCAGGACCTACACCCACACTGGCACCCAGGACCTACACCCACTCGAATCGCTTGGTTTCCATGTGACCTGAATAATGGGTTTAGGGGGCTTGTCTTTTTTTTTCTGTATTTTTTAAGATTTATTTATTTGAAAGGTAGAGTCACAAAGAACAGAGTTTCCATCTGCTGCTTCACTCCCTAAATGGCTGCAATGGATGAGCCAGGAGCTTCTTCCTGGTTTCTGTCATGAGTAGCAGGGCCATCTATGCAGCTTTCCTAGAAGCAGAGAGCTGTATCAGAAGGGGGGCAGCCGGGACACAAACCAGCACCTAAATGGAGGCCAACAACTCAGACAGTGGCTTAACCTACAATACTGTGCCAGCCTTTTCACCAATTTTCCAGGGCCAGAAGGCTCCTGGCGGGAGGGTTACAGCCCAGCCAGCTCCTCATGGGGCTGTTTTATCTCTCTAACACAGGAGAGCAGCCAGGCAGCTGTTCTGCTGACGCTGTCTCCAGGGCTGTTGTGGGGAGAACTGGCCATGCAGGCTGCAGGGCCAGTGTCGGTGCAGCTGCTGTGGCTTCTCTGCTTTAATGGCTTTGCTCTCAGCCTTACCTGGGTTGGTCTGTAATGTTGAAAACCAATGGACTCACAGCTACTACTGCTTGGTATAACACAGCTGCGAACCAAAGCGGAAAGCCTGCCTCACTCTGACACACGCAGGTGTGGCCGTGGGCTGCTCATGGGCCTCCTCTCGCACCCTGCTGGGAGACCTGAGGTTCCCCTTCCCGAGGCTCGCAGGCCCTTCTGCCCTTTGACAATCAGGAAGGCTCCCTCTTGGCTCCTATGTCCTGAGGCTAAAGCCCACCAAGGCAGTGCTGTCCTTGGGGTCTCCCAGCCCACCAATGCCAGAGCAAAGCCAGACACCCGGTGTGGGGGATGTGTGGGGAGGTGATTTGGAATGGTCACAGCAGCTCCGAGATGCCGCCTGGCAGCCTGCTTATAAATGAACACAGAATGCTTAGAGTGTAGCTCGGAGCCACACTTCCGACACTCACCATGGGCACCTCTCTCCATTTTTCCAGGGCCCCTTGGGTGGCTATCTGGTCAACCCAGGACATCAGTCCAGATTCCCATATCCTGCATGAAAGTACCTGGGTTTGAGGCCCAGCTCTGCCTTCTGACCCCAACTTTCTGCTGAGGCAAATTGGGGACAGCAGTAACATCCCAAGTGGGCACTTGAATCCTGCCCAGGCTCTGTCTTCAGAGCCCCAGGGATCAGGCGCTGGACCACGAAGGTGCCACAAGATGGTCCCGGACCACAGTCTGTGTTGGGTTTTCCCAAGAGCCAGGGCTGTGCAGGGCAGAATAGGTAGCATTTTCAGATGCTGCCAGAAGGGAGATAGGAGGACAGTTGGACCCACTCTCAGGGTTTCTGCATGGGCCTTCCTGGGACTTGCCCAGCAGGTCAGAGGTTGTCAGAGCCCCCCGTGGAGGCAGGCTGCTAATGGCTCTAACAGCACGAGCTCACACTGGGAGTCACGGATCAGTGCTGGCTGAGCAGAATTGTGGTGCTAACAGTTTATAAGCTGCGAAGGAGAAAGAGCGCCCGTCCACTGGGTCACTCCTAAAACACCCACAGTGGTCAGTGTTGGGGTGGGGGCTGGATCTGGAGCCAGGAACACAGTCAAGGTCTTGGCTAAACCCACTTTTCTAGGGTGCACCACACAAGAGGCAGGGCAGATAGGAGCCTGCTAGAGGCTGAACTTGGCTCTTCTGCTTACTATGTGATCTTGAGCAAGTTACCTAACTTCTCTGGACCTTTATAAGGGGAGAAAGTACTGCAAGCTGCTTTCCAGAATGACTGTGAGGTTGTGTGGACACAGCATTAGAACAGGGCTCCTCGGGATGTGTGGCCACAAGGTGGGCATTAGCTCCTAAATTCCCACTCATGGTGACAAGTGTGTGTGCCCATCTTCAGAGCAAGACCCATCTACAGCTCCCCCTGCATGCCCCATGTAGACATGGACCAGAGCTGAAGGGAGGATTACTTATGGCCATGTGACAAACACTTGCCAGGCCCACTTCACGTGTATTCCCATGGGATGCTCCCAGCACCCCATCAGCATTTTCCATATTGCACAGTTGAGCAGACAGGTTCAGAGAGGTGAGGCAGCTTGCCAGAAGTTACACAGCCAGCAGGTGAGGCACAGCACCAGAGGCCTCCAGATGTGTGGGGGCTTGTCACACATGTGAGGGCTTTCCTGCCACATGTAGGTGACATGCCTGCCTGTAGGTAGAGGAGATCTCTTACTGTTGACAGTGCAGAGCACCAGACAGCCCGGCCTGTTCTCCCAGTGTGTGTGGGAGCTGACTTGGCCTCTCATGCCCTTACCCACATCTACACACGGCTACCAGCGAGGTTGCATAAACGATTGCCATCTCTCTCTAGGTGATGGGACCTCGTGGGACCTGACTGGGACAGTGCTTAGCTAGAGTTTCTACTTTGGGATCCCCAGACCCAGAGAAATCATTTCCTCCTTATTCCTGGGCAGCCTTGGGTGCCTGGTTCTCCTGGGTGACTTCAGGGTGATAATGGTGGCGTCTCGCCTGCACTTTCTATTTCTTTTTCAGCTTTAATCGCCTCGACTTACCTCCATATGAGACCTTTGAAGACTTACGAGAGAAGCTTCTCATGGCTGTGGAAAATGCCCAGGGTTTCGAGGGGGTGGATTAAGCAGCCCTTGGCGGCAGCGGAGGTGGCCTTCCACCCGTCCATCCGTCCGTCGGGCAAATTCCACTTGCGCTTTTGCGTTTGCCCAACTGACTTTGCAGAGCCCGTGGCCGAGGAGCAGCTGCGTGGCCAGGCTCCCGACGCTGAGCCTTGGCTCGGACCCATGCCCAAGCCTGGCCGTGGGCCCCCGGCCCCAGCTCACGTTCCTGCCTCGTCCACCACACGTGATCAGCTGGTTGATGTGTACGCTAATTACATTTCAGGAGAACTGACTATTTATGTTGTGCCTGTGCAGGCAAAACCCTTAATAAATATTTTGCATACTTTCTAATGACAATGAATGGAATTAATCACTCTACAGGTATAGTATTACAACTCATGTTTACTTTTTAAAAATGATTCAGACCGATTTTCACATTTTATTTCACTATTATTAAAGATGTCTCATGTACTTGGAAAAGTGAGCATATTTTTTTTGTATTTGAATTTCATACCAGGCAGAATGTCAGTGACAGTTTAATTTTTTAAATGCGTTGACACTCCCCCATCCTCTGCTTGGTTAGAATTGGAAGACTCATTCTTGTCCAAAAACCTTCTGCACACAAGGACTTTGGGAGATTTTCAATTGCATCATTAGGCCTCGTGGTCATTGTACTGAGGATAAACGCAAACTGGATATCACATTTGTTTTATGCAAGCGTAGGTCTTAGCTACAGGTTGAGCGGATTGTCCCGTAGCACGACAGGGCTCACATGAACGCAGAAGGCCTCACTCCATCATTCCTTACGAGTCGCAACACGTGCTGTGACATCCTGGAGACGGGCTTGGACTGATGCTTCCCACAAGACAAGCTGCCTCACCCTGTGTGACCAGGGCTTTGCCTCCACCATGTTTGTCTCTCAGCTTGTTTGCACTCGAGACCTTTCGGATGAAACTTGGCCCTGCTGGATTGGAAACCACGCATGCTGACCTGGCTGGCCTGGGCACGCAGTTACTAACGGTAGCCTGACAGCCAGCTGCCGTTCTAACTGCTCCAATGCCGAGGCACTTTACGTATCACGAGGTTGTGTCTGGGGGCGAAGGTGGGCGTAGTGTTGGTGTGTATCCCAAGCGTTCAGTGTGATGATCCTCCTCCCTGCACACATCTCTGTGGTGCCGGGGCCACCCAGTTGTACCTGGCTGCTGATGTATAAAACCCCCGTGTAAAGACAACCTTCCCTGCACACACACCCTGCGACGTGTCTGCAATTCCTTGGTGAATTCTGCTCATCTTCGAAGACTGACTCAGCAGACGTATACCCCTAATTGAGCTTTGTGACCTGTGACTTGTTGCATGCTTCAGTACCACGTCCTGCCCTAGTCATGTGTGTCATGTGCTGGATTCAAGGTGAGAAGACTGTTGGACCCACGTGGGTTACGGAGGCTATTCGGTCTACTGTTGTAGAGGACTGAGTGTCCCTGCGCAGTTAGGGCATGCTGGACATTGGCTGCCTCCAGTCACAGAGAGGACAGGAGGTGGCACTCTCAGTGGCTCTCAGTGGTGTAGAGGAGCCACCAGGAGGAAGGGGTGGAGAGGCCTGAGACTCCGCACGGGGGTGGAGTTTTCCAGGGCAAGGGATTGGCTCCCTTTTCCTGTTTGTTTAGCTAGTGGTGGTCAGAAAGCAGAGAGGCTCCAGGGACACTGGGATGCCATGTCACCCCCAGCTACTATCAGTTCCCAGGAGGGTTCCATGTGGTGAGTGTGCCTCATGGCATAACGCCCCCCTGGGGATCCCTCCCCCATCAGCATCCATCTGTCCTGTACGAGTTGTGCCAAAGCCTGAGGGGTGAACATAATCATGTACTTGTTGGAGGAGAACTTGTATTCCAGTCTGATTACTGCGACTCTTCTCAGTTTGTCCTCTGTGTACTGAGAACATCAGAATATTTGCTCAGTGCCAATGAAGCCACCTATGGAAAATGTGAGAGAAACCCCATTCTGGTCATTTCTCAGCCAGGGCCAGATCAGGATTACTGCAGTCGTTGGAAAGGGTGCTTCAGTCCATCGCCCCTTCCTTCCCACCCTGTCCCCTACGTGAAACAGCTGGATGTTGCTGCATCTGGAGTTTGGTTTTGGTAAGAAACCCAAGTAAGGCTCAGTGACCCAACATCTACTGAAGCTTCACCCCTGCTCAGATGCCCTTGTCTCTGACTGCCAATGCCAGCTCTCAGTTGGCCTCATGACATCCTTGCATTGGGAGCAGGTGGCTGGTTGGGCCTCCTCTGAGAGGGGATGGGACCAGGCAGCTCTGCACCTGCAGCTTCGGCTACCACTGAGGTCTGCTGCGCCCCTTTCCTTCAGTTCTCTGCAGAGGCTGTGGATCCTGTGGGCTGCTCCCCGCTGGGGTCAGAGCCCCCTGCCATTTGTGCAACGTAGAGCAGCCCACAGCATGGGTTATCACAGTATCTGTCCATCCCTCTGGCCACTTAGCATTGGATTTGCATGCCTGCACCAGGTCCACCCTGCAGGACTGAGGTGTCGCCACTGCCACTGCTCTGAAGGCCCTGCCAGTGTGCTTGGCTTCTGCACTCAAGCTTGGCTTTTGCCTGAAGCCTTCACCACACTTGCTTCTCTGTAGTCAGGCCTGTGGCAGTTCATGATAACCTAACATATGTCATTTATAGTAAGTTTCCAAGGCCCATCAGTCCATAGGTGATGTTGATATGCCCCATATTCAGATGGCATGTAATACAGAGCCACTTGCTGTCAGTTACTCCTTCTTGGGGGCAGGGGAAGCAAGTGGCAGATTCTGAGCAATGGCTTACAAGCTCCTACCCCCATTGCATCGACCACGTAATCTGTTGCTGTTGCATCTCTCCAGGTGTAAATGGGTCTCTTGAAAGCCAAGTGTATGTACAACAGTCTTCCTGACATTGCAACAGTTTAAGAATAGACTCTTGTTGTTTCCCAATACTCATGTGTGTCACCTCTGAAATTCTACAGTCCATCAAGAGGGCCTGGTTTAATGAATTCTCCAGCCCTTCCCCCACTGCGCTAGCACCCCTCTCTTCCTCTGTTCCTCACCCTGACAGCATCCCTGGGTCCAGGAAGGATGCTGTGTTGTATTATTTTTGCCTTGCCAGTAGGGGGTGCTGTGCAGGGTCATTGCCTGCCCTGTTCCCTCTGGCCCCCTGGGAAGACCATACACTACCTCTGTCTCATTCAGGCATTGGAGTACATCCTGATCAGTCATGTTGAAAAAAAAAAAAAACAACTGCCAATTTCAGGACCGAGATGTGTTTAAAAAGGAAAAAAAAAAATCAGCCTCCACTTTGTACTTTAGATTTTAAAACTGGGAAGAAAACATGATATCCTTTGGACCACTTTTTTACTTTCTATAAGCCTTAATGCACAGCGTGTTCTCATCCCCCTGTGCCCTGGAGCTTTTGTGGGACAGCTGAGAAGGCTCCAGAACCCTGGGATGTGTGCTGGTTGCTGCTTTCCCAGAAGGAGAGAGCTTCCTTTTGGTATGGCATTGTCCAGGAAAACTTCCTCATGGACACCTGTCCGTACATTAGCAGCTGCGTGTCTTGTTGTTAGTGGGGAGTCGTGGTGGGAGATTGCACAATGTTGCCGCTGGTCTCAACCTTGTATCTGTGCATTAGTAGCCTCTCGTGACATGACCCTAACCCACTGCACAGACCTTCCTGTCAGGGGTTCCTTCCTGTTAGCTTTGCGTGACTTTGTTCTCCTGTTACTGCTGTGTGTGCAACATGGACTCATGTCCATGTGTTTGTGTGCTGTGCAGACGTCCATGTATAGATCTGTATGGTGTTTTTACACCTCTGTGGGTAACCTGGTTTCAGAAGAGCGAGTGCTAGCTCGGTCGTTTCTCAAGTTTGCTCCAAGCTGTGTTCTGCAATTTCTGACTCGAAGCCAGAGAGAACCCTGAATGATGATGGCAATTTGCTATCATTTCTTAATTCAGGATCAATTATCAATTGAAATGGGAGGGGGAAATAAGCGGTGACTTCTAAGATTTAGAAGAAAAAAAAATTTCAAGCATTCCAAATGAATTCTCAGTGTTTCGTAACTTTTTATCCTAACCCTTGCTAATGGGAACCAAGTACTATTTGATACCATGGTACAAACCAAACTACCTGGGCATTGTTTTAAAGATAATTTACAGATAGCTCTGCTCATTTTCACAATCTGAACAGCTTTAAACACATGGCTGAATTTGATACACACAGGAAAAGTTTTGTTTCAGAACAAAATCCTTTCTGCTTTGCTTTTTTTCTCTTGAGAGATCTAATGGAGATTGTAGATTGTGTTTCCTGATGGCCAGAGTAATGTGACAAAGCCAAGTTGTTGTAAAGAAGTGATGCGACTTGTCAAATATTTAATAAAGAATTACAGAAGCCGGAGCATTTTCTACATCCAGTCTAATGAGTTGTCTGATTTCAAGCGGCTTCGGGAAGTGCCTCATTGCCGTTGGCAGGTGTAGAGCGTGTTCAGTTCACCCATCTCGCCAGAGGTCCACTCACACCCCAGAAAGCATCGGTGTCTATCATGAGCTTGGTGAGACAGCTTGGTGGTCCTCCGCCTGCTGCTTGGGCTTTTGTGTAGCCCCTGGTGGGTAGAAAGGCATGTCTCACCGGCTTCTGTCAAACCAGGCCTCCCTTTGGCAAGTGGTGGTGAGCCTTGGTAATGAAGCCAGGGGGTCCTGTTTGAATCTGGCTGTGACGATTCCCTGTTAAAACTCAGGGGTGGTAGTTTGTGTTTTTCTTGGGCCGTTCCACCCCACTTCCAAAGCCTTCCTAGGGGTGCTGTGCCGTTCAGTTCTGAGATCCTCCTCCAGCCCCTCAGATAGTGTCAGCCCTAGGTCACCACTAGCCAACTGCCCACCACACCCAGACTTCACGTGCCCGGCCTATCTTGCCCAGGACACAAGGCCACGTGAAGCTAAGATGCCAGCTGGTGGTGGAGTGGCCCATTTGCCACTCATGCAGAAGCTGACTGCTGAGCTCTCTGTGTGCTGGGCAGCCACGGCATGCCCCAGGCAGTGGGCAGTGGGAATGCCTGTGGGGGGCATGCAGGTTCTGAGGAGCAACTGTGGCAGCTCTCAGTTAAGAAGCAGAAGCCAACCACTTCTCCCTATTGAGAGGGGAAGTGTCACCCCAGCGAGCCCTTTGGGATGCAGTCATGCTGTCCAGTAGGTTCTCACAGGACTTGTATCAGGCAGGGGACACTCAGGGTGTGCATTGATATAATACTCCTAGCAGACTCCTACACAGCTGGGCACTGGGCCCAGCTGCGACTACAAGGGACGCAGATCACTTTGAAGGGCTTGCTGACTTTGGGCCAGACTGGGCTCTGCTCTACCTCTCCCTTATTTGCCCTGCTGCTCTGTAGTGCCCTGCCCCAAGATGCCATCCCTCCCCCAACCAGTGCCCCAGTTGCTCCTGTCCCTCCTTCCC